ACTCGCGCCCCTCACGGGGTCCACTACGGACCCCCTCCTCTTCACGGGGTCCATAGCAGACCTCTTCCTCCCCACGCCGACTCAGCCACATCACTTCCTCACTCAGACTCGCTCAAACTCACTCAAATTCAGACTCATTCAAATCCACTCAGTGAACTAGCCTCAGACGCCCCCTTACTCATACACATTCGAACTCTCCCACTCCGACATACTTTTTCTCACTCGAACTTTCTGGTGGCCAGTACCGTGGATGTAAGAAATTAGCGCGACACCAAATCATGACGTTGGAATTCCGCCGTTCAGAGAAAATGAATGCACTCCGGGCCACGACAACATTGGGCTCAAAACCCTGCACTTGCGGTTCGCGGCGGCGGCCGATCTTGCCCAGCTTGAAACCCGCGGGGCTTGAATGGCGAAGCTCCAACCTTACGAATCAATTTCGCGTTAACTGTTTCCATCCACGGCTTCCGGCAAAGCTGATTCGCGGGCCTTTTCCTATACACGATGTGGGGCTCGCGCCTGTCAGCCATTCTGGCATTTTTCCGATCAAACAATGTGGCCGATGGGCTGGAATGGCTGCAACGTTACGATATGTTCGGATCTCGCTTGGCTCAAACGAAACGCCGATGAGATCGCCAACAACGGCGTTTGCGGACGTTCCGCTGTTTGTTGTGCTAGCCTGGCTACGACGAATCGATCCGGGGATCGCCAGGACTGGTGTTCTAGGACCTTGCGGTTTGTTCTGTCTTAGCCTGGCTACGACGAAACGATGATGAAAGCAACGAAGTCAGATACGGATGCAACTTTCCAACGTTACGAATGCATTTTTGGAGCTCTGGCACAGGACTTCCTTACCACAACGACGCCGATTATAATGTTGAGAATTCGTAACGGGAAAAAACTGAATTCATTTTCTTCACGAATATTCACCGTTATGATCGGCGTCGTTTTGATGAGGGAGTCCTGTGCCAGAGCTCCAAAAGGTCATTCGCAACGCTGGAAGAACGCATCCCCATCGCACTTCGTGGCTTTCATCGTCGTCTCGCCATGGCCAGGCTCAAACAACAAAAAGCGCACCGTCCCAAAACGCCTTTCTTGGCGATCCCAGGATCGTTTCGTCATGGCCAGGATCGCACAGAAAACAGCAAAACAACGTACAGCAAAACAACGCCCCGAAGCGCCATTCCTGGCGATCTCACCGGCGTGTCGAATCCAACGGGGGCCCTCGAGTCAGCCTGGCCGGCACGCGGCCTCTGGCAAGGCTGGTCTGAGGGCCCCCTCTGAAGTCCACACGGTGTGGGGCTCGCGCCTGTAAGCCATTCTGGCACATCCCCGATCCGGCAATGTGGCCGATGGGCTGCAACGGCTGCAACGTTACAATCTGTTCGGGTCTCGCTTGGCGCAAGCGAAACGGCGTGTAGAACTCAAACGGGGCCCTCGCATCAGCTTTGCCAGAAGGTCGCGGATGCAAGAAATTAACGCGAAACTGAATCATAACGTTGGAATTCCGCCGTTCGGTGAAAATTAACACCTTCGTGCCACGACAACATGGGGCTTTAAAACCTGCAATTGTGCTTCGCGCTTATAGTTTACATGTTCGGCGGCGGCCGCAAGGTGTGCCCAGCTGGGGAATCGCAGAATTTGAATGGCGAGATTCCAACGTTACGAATCAGTTCCGCGCTAGTTGTTTCCATCCACGGTAACTTTTCGCAAAAGAACATATGTGCCACTTGCGCACCCGATGGGTGAGCCACGTGGGGTAGGGACACTCCAGGACTAGCACTCAGATCGGGGGGATGTCTTAAGCGGATTGCCTGCTTCTGCCTCCCAAACTTCTCGCTTATCCTGGTCGAATGGTCATCGCGATACAGCAAACGTGGCATTCAGGCGCCACAGCGAGGAGCCCCCAGGGGTCGGGACACACAAGGAATTGCGGTCATACGGGGGAGATCTAGGATGCGGTTTGTTTGTTTCTGCCTCCAGACACATGCATTTTGGTTGTCCCATGCTCACGGCAATCTAGCACGCGTGGCAGCTGGGCACCCCAAGCAGGAGTCGCCACGGGTGGGGGGCACTCCAGGACTGATGCCCAAATTGGGGGGATGTCTCAAGCGGTCTTCCTGCTGCTGCCCCCCAGCTTTCGTTGGTGGTCCGATGCCCACCGCGACATCGCAAAAGTGGCACTCGGACGCCCCAGAGAGGAGCCGTCAAGGGTGGAGGCACTCCAGGAAGCGCGCCCACACTGGGGGATGTTTCGAGATGTTTGCTTGCTTCTGCCCCCAGAATGTTTTTCTTGTGGCGATTGGTTGCTCAACGTGGCGTAGCAGGCGTGGCATTGGGGCATCCCCACGGGAGCCGCCACGGATGGGGGCACTCCACGGAGCGCGCTCAGACTGGGGGACCATCCCAAACCGAGGGCCAGCGTCTGCCTGGAACACTTCCCTTTGGACTTGCTCGTTCCTCGCTCACGAATTTAATCACTCATCGCCTTCATTTTCCCCCGACTCGGACGCACTCGTGCGCATTCGGACTATCTCATCAGCACCTCGTCCTCATTCAAGAGCACCCATCACATTCAGACCCGCTCGTGCTCATACTAAAGAGGCAAACTCGAAACTCTTACTCACTCGCACCCGGCCCAACTCACGCTCAGACTCACTCGCACTCGGCCTCGCCCAGCCACAGACTCTAATTACCTATCATCCAGGCTCGCTCATACTCAATGTTTCGGTCACTTCCCTCAAACTCCGACTTACCCACGCACAGGCTCGCTCGCACCCAGACCCACTTGCACTTAGACGCGGTCGCACTCAGCTCACTCATACTCAGACCCACTCGTACTCATACTCACATCCACGCCCAGAGAGAATCAGATCTCGGACCCGCTCATAGTCCAACTCGCTCACAGTCAGATCACCCACGCTGATATTCACTCGCACTAAAGCTCACACACAACTAGCTATCGCGATGTAGTCGGAGTGGCACTTGGGCACCCCAAGTGCCAGCATGCGCCGCGAGTAGCACGCCAGAGAGAGGGCGTAGCAGCGCCGCGCGCGCTTGCCTGAATTGCCGCGGGGGAGCGGCAAGAGGATGTCCCCCTCGCGTTTCCTCTCTCTCTTGAAATATGTCCAGAGGAGGAAGCCGTCCCTGAAAACGTCGCTGTCATCGTCGTCGTCGTTGCCGCGACTGTCGTCTTCGCGGACCGCTCTCGAATCCAGATGCTCGTGGATAGCCTTCCCCAGCGAGACGTGGCAAAAGTACTAGGTATTAGCTGCACACCCAGACCCCCCACGTCTGGATTTTTTCACAACGTCGACCCCCAGAGGTCTGGACCCCTTCCCCGGGACCGGTTTTTCGCCCTGAATGTTTTTTGAAGGCCCCGAGGCCCGGGAAGGGCCCCCGAGGCCCGGGAAGGGCCCCAGGAGGCCGAAAATAACGACTAACCTCCCGTTGTGATTTGTTCGTAGCGCGAGGAGGTATGGGGCATGAGCTGCACATCTGGCATCTCCGCGTTAAAGAATTCCTCGACGTAGGCGTCCAGGGGCCCCTTCCCTGACCTTCCAAAGTGCTGAAAAAAAAACCTCAGGCCCTATGGACCTGTCTGGACTGCCTATAGAAACCTCGACTGGAGTTTAGGCGTCGAGGTCCTGGTGCTATTTTTGTGCCCTCCTGGACGGTCAGGGTGCTGGGCTCTGGGGCTATCATACGAATGCACCCGCGCGACGTAGGGCCGACTCCTCCTCCTCCTCCTCCTCCTCCTTCTCCTCCTCATCATCCTCCTCCTCTCCTCCTCCTCCTCTCCTCCTCTCCTCTCCCCTCCTCCTCCTCCTCTCCTCCTTCTCCTCCTCCTCCTCCTCCTCCCTCCTCCTCCTCCTCGTCCAGGGTGGGCCCGTCAACGATCGGCGCGCCCACGCCCTCCTGGCCTCGCGAGGGGGGGGGGGGCAGAGTCAGCTCCCCCTGCGACGGGGAAGCGGTGACCGCAGGGCGCGCCCCTCTCCCATCTGGTGCACCTGTTCCTCTTCTTCCTCCTCCTGCTCCTCCTTCTCCTCCTCATCATCATTATCCTCCTCCTCCTCCTCCTCCTCCTCCTCCTTCCTCCTCCTCCTCCTCCCTCCTCCTCCTCCTCCTCCTCCTCCTCCTCCTCCTCTCCTCCTCCTCACTCCTCCTCCTCCTCCTCTCCTCCTCCTTCTCCTCCTCCTCATCATTCTCCTCCTCCTCCTCACTATCATTCTCCTCCTTCTCCTCCTCCTCCTCCTCCTCCTCCTTCTCCTCCTTCGCCTCCTCCTCATCATTATCCCCTCCCTCCTCCTATATCAGGGCCCGAAAACGACGACATAGGAGCGATGAACAAAATCTTCACGGTACGTGAATCACCGATGGGTATCCCCACGTTGGGCACTGTCTGCCACACTGCGCAACACACTGATGCCTTCATCCTAGGCCCGTTTTTGACGGCACTGGGGCCTGAAAACAGTCCCCCGTGGTATGAACAAACAAAGCACCTCTTCAAACGACAGTCCCCAGTGGCAGAGAAACACAGAAGACCTCTTCGAACGCAGAACCTCGAGTCCCCACTCCCTGCTGGGCCGGAACCAGTGCTGGGCCACCTCAGACCCCAAGCTGGCTCCACATCCTACCAGCCCCTTGGGCCAAAGTGGTCTAACGCGTTCTGCCATCCCTCTTCGGGAAACCTCTTCCCTTCCAGGACGTTTACCTCCCCCTCCCCCTCTCTGAGGTTTTCCGGGGCGGGCCGCGATGCATCAGAGCGTCCAAGATGGCCCAATATGGCTCCAAGAGGGCGTCCGACACTCCAAGATGGCCTTCAAAATGGCTCAAGATAGCCGACGATGGTTCAAGATAGCTTCTGACATACCTCCGAGAGGCCAGACGAGGGCCACAAGACGTTTCCAAGTGCCGTCGGAGCCCCAATCAGGACCCACAAGAGCTCAAAATCCGTCAAAAAACATTTGAAAATGTGTGACTTCTCGCCGTTTCGCTTCCGATGCACTTTTGAGGCCTCGAGATGGCACCAAAACGGCCCAAGAGAGGCCCAAGAGGCCGCCCAGACGGCCCCAAGAGTACCCAAGAGTACCCCCAGAAGGCCCAAAGAGCCTATTTTGCTGGTCCCAGGTGGGGGAGCCCTCCCCACATCCATATAATCGATGGCTTCCAAGATGGCCCCAAGAGGCCCTGCAGGACTCCCAAGGGACCCCAAGAGGGCTCCAAGAGGGCCCCAAGACCCTCCAAAAGAGCTCAAAGAGATCCCCACAAGATCCCCCCAAAAAGAAGATTGTGAGGGCGCTGTCCTCGTCCTGGTTGTCCTCCTCCTCCTCCTCCTCCTCCTCTTCCTTTTCTGGTTCCTCATCTTTCTCGTCGTCGTGGTCGTCGTGGTCGTGGTCATGGTCGTGGACGTGGTCGTGGTCGTGGTCGTGGTCGTGGTCGTGGTCGTGGTCGTCGTCGTGGTCGTGGTCGTGGTCGTCGTCGTCGTCGTCGACGCCGTCGTCGTCTTTTTCCTCCTCCTCCTCCTCCTCCTCCTTTTCCTCCTCATTACCTCGCCCCCACGCAGGCCCAAGGGATGGCCCGAAGAGACCCTCCAAGGCCACCCCCTTACTCCCAAAGATCTCTCTGCTCCACCTGGTTGCCCGCTTTGTTTCACTACATCTGTCTCCTCGTCCCTTCTCCCGTCAACTATCATGAGCAGGGCTTTTGAACGGGCTGGTGGGGATAGGCACAGCGTGAAGAATTTGTCACACCTTGGGAAATCAACAGGCACCAATACCGCTACTCCCCGGAACTCTCCCGGGGCGCGTCCTGATTAGAATTTTGAGGCGAAGCCAGCGGTGGCGACGAGGGTCTCCCAGGAGGCCCACGGAGGGGAGCACCGAGGGCAGGGCTGCGATATCGGCACTTGTCCCTCTTCGGAATTCCTTGATGATTCCTCCCCAGGGCTCCGAGATCGCCGCGGAGCCGCGCCACGTCGTCCCGGCGAGCGAGTACGCGTCCCGCAGCGGCCCGGGCTGCTCCGGGGTCCGGCACTGGTGCCTCGGCGGCGAGCGGGGGGGTGGTCCTGACGCCCTCGCGCCGCGGGAAAAGTGGCGACCGCTGTTGTTCTGCGTGAGGTCGATGTTTCGAAGTGGCCCTGGGGCACATCAGTGAATCTATGCAAATCCCCGTATTCCCATAGGTTTCTATATTTTAGGGGTTTCGTCTTGCCTCCCACTTCCCACACGTTGTCCTATTCCCGTGGGAGTCGACGATTAATTGTGTCTATGTGTTTTTTTCTCCGCAGCTTTTTACGTGAGGTCGATGTGTACCCTCGAGCGCGACCAGATTTCGGAATGCATCATTGGGTAGTTGAGGTCCTCTCGCCTCGGTGTGCCTTGCAAAAACAACAAAAAAAAAAAAAAAAACGCGACGCCGCGGAGAATCGCGACCGGGGCCCTCTGTAGCCATCCTGACTACCCACCAGACCACCCCAACCCAACCCGAAGACCCGACTTTCGGGTTGGGGGGGTACGGGCTTCCTATGTACTTTCTCAACGTTCCCCGACCCCCCCCACTGGAAATGGACGGCAAATTTGGGCCTTCGGGTTGGGTTGGGGTGGTTTGGTAGGTGGTGACATCCTGCCGCATCTCCCCGCGGCAGCCTCCGCGCCCGGTCGATCTGCGAGAGGGCTCCGGGGCCCCGGGGCCGGGCGACAGCCCCCGCAAAGCTGCCACGCCCGGTTCTGATGTCGGGCCCGTCCCCCATACAGGAGGATTCTCGACGAAAAATAAAACATACCTCAAAAATACCCCAAGATAAGCCAAAATATACTCCAAACATAATCCCCAGACTAATTTGGGACTACTTTTTCATTTTTTTGGTGTATTTTTTGGTTTTCGTCGAAGATCCCCCTGTAGGGGTACAGGCCCGACTCAACCCTGATCTGAGGGCACCATTATCTCAGCTGCTCGCCCGCCTCTGCCAGTCGTGGCCGCCTCGGTCCCCGCCCTCGCCGTCGCTGTTCCTTGCCGCCGCCGCCGCCGTCGCCACCGCCGCCTCCGTCGCCGCCGCCGCCGTCATCGCCGACCCGTCGTTGCCGCCGCCGCCGTCGCGACGACGGCGACGACGGTGGCGACGACGTCGGCGGGGAAGGCCGTGCCGATTCGATACCGCTGCTCCCGCGACCTCCCTCGGGGTGCAGTGGCGAATCAGGCCGTGGCGGCGGGGGGGGCTCTCCACGCCGAGCAGGGGCATCGGCGGCACCCTCTCCTCCTCTGACAGTCGCCGCCCTCGCCGTCGCCGCACTCGCCGTCGCTGGCCTCGCCGCCGCCGCCCTCGCCGCCGCCGCCCCCCCTCGCGGTGCTGGATCGGCACGGCCTTCCCCGCCGACGTCGCCGTCACCGTCGTTGTCGCCGTCGGCGCCGTCGCCGTCGCCGCCGTCGTCGTCGCCGTCGCCGTCGCGGTCGTCGCCGTCGTCGCCGTCGTCGCCGCCGCCGTCGTCGCCGTCGTCTCCGTCGTCGCCGTCGTCGCCGTCGTCGCCGCCGCAGTCACCGTCGCTGTCACCGTCGCCGGCGTCGCCGTCGCCGCCGTCATCGTCGTCGCTGTCGTCGTCGTCGTCGCCGTCGTCGTCGCCGTGCTTCCTCGCGGTGCCGCCGTCGCGCGCCTGCGGCGGAAGAGGTCCGGCAGCTCGGCCGCAGAGGGCCGCGAGCCGCCGGGCGTGCGGAGGGCCGCGAGCAGGCGCTCCGCGTGCGCCTCGACGCGCCGCACCGAGGACGGCACCTGGCGGCTGGCTCGCGTCGCTTCTCGTTCTTCTCCTCCTCCTCCTCCTCCTCCTCCTCCTCCTCCTCCTCGTTCTCCTCCTCCTCCTCCTCCTCCTCCTCCTCCTCCTCCTCCTCCTCCTCCCCGTCCCCCTCCTCGCGTCGCGGGCGTCGGCTTCTGGCGCCGCATGGATCGTTCAGCCGCGAACTGCTGCGGCCCTGAGAAACCTTCCACAATTACAACTCAACGTTGTGGCCCCAGGACGTCCATGATTTTTGTTTGTGTGGGAGCGTCACGCTTTCCACGGCAGACCCGCCGAAACCCAAGAAACCCAGGGCACCCTGGAGGCAAGCAGGGCGTTTCTTGTCATGGGTTTCCACTCTAGTGCAGATCGCTCGACATCGGCCAGTTCCGGGCCGCTGGCGGAGTTTAAGCTTGAACGCCCGCGCTGGGGTCGCCGCCGCTTCAACGCGGCGCAAACCTACCGTATAGGAACAAGGCACGCATAAAGAAAAGAGCGAGTGAGGGTCAAAACGCCAAAACCTCGGGCGCCTCGAAAACGTCGGGACGGAGGCTTTTCATATTTTGTCGGCTTCCCGGGGCCCTGACAAGGCCTCGGGAACAGCGACCCAGGATGGAAAACCAGTCCCAGGGAAAAGGGTCGAGAGGTCGGGTGCCCGTCTCGGACAAATCGAGGCGCCAGATGCATGGGCACGAATGTGAGTTCGCTCTGCCTTTTCGTTCGCCCCGATGGTTGCGTATTGGGGCTCGGCCTCAGGCCTGCTCAGCTAAGCGACCAAACTGGAACAGAACTGCGACGGACTACGGTGACGATAGCAATGACGTGCCATCACATGCTCCGCATGTTACCTCGCACGATCACATGAAATCTGGGCGTTGCAATTTTCCCGCACTGGGCGTTGTCGTCCAATTTCGAGACCCAGATCCATCCCAGATCGACCCGGCTCGAAAAATGCATCATAAAGATATGATGTTGGGCTCCAGTCGTGATTCTTCGCGATGCTGCAATTTGTTTCGCCACGTTCGAGCTCAAGGGAGGGGGGACGAGGGTGGGGCAGCCCCCTTTCCTTTTTTGAAAGATTGCCAAACATCTTCCGTCGCGATTTATCCACAGCGCGAAGAGGTCATGGGGAGGCGGCAGCGTGGAGAGCCCCCCCCCCCCAGTAGGAACAAGGAAGGAACGGCACCACCAAAACCAGCGCGAGGCACTGGGGGGGTCCTCCTGTTGGCGTGGTTTCCACCCCCCTCTCTAGCTCGAGACATCCCCTACCTCGTGAGCTGAACAATCGCACCCATAGCCATGCGACGCCTAGATTTCTCGGGGTGGGATTCTTGGGGGAGGGGCTATGGGTGTGGTGTCGGATGGGGATCCCTGCTCGAACGAGAGCCCCCCTCGGGATCCGGCAGCTTGGGCCCGTGCCCATCGCGCCTTCATCACCATGCCCTTCCCCGCTCCTCCTCCTCCTCCTCCTCCTCCTCCTCGTCCTCCTCCTCCTCCTTTTTGGTTTGACTGTGTGCGTGCGTGCGTGCGTGCGTGCGTGCGTGCGTGCGTGTGTGTGTGTGTGTGTGTATGTGTGTGTGTGTGTGTGTGTGTCTGTGTGTGTGTTTGTTTGCGTGTGTATGTGTGTGTGTGGGTGTTTTGTGTGTTGTATGTGTTGTGTGCTGCGTGTAGTGTGTAAAGTGTGTGTATGTCTGTGACTGGGGGTGCCCCCCCCTGGGTGGTGGAGGTGCCGCCCGCCCGGGAGGCACCGAGGAGAGGACGAGCGACACGCAGCCGCCCGCGGGGGCCGAGCGGAGGTGCTCGTACGCCAGCACGCCGCCCCAGGACTGGCCGTAGAGGTGGTAGCGGCGGAGGCCGAGCTCCAGCAGCACCTCCCGGCGGCGAGGGCCGCGGGCCTCCCCCTGGAGCCTCGCACTCTGACCTGGACCCGGAATCCCAACAGCCGAACGCCAACCGACAGCCCAGAGCCCAGACCCCAACGCCCGCAACCCCAACACCCGAACGCCCTGACACCCTAACCCCGTACCCTCCAACCCTCACCCCGAGCACTATACCCCAACCCCCTCACCCTAAGCACGAAACGCACACACCCTGGCACTCTAAGACCCGAACACGCGAACCTTGACAACCTGCCCCTAACACCCCAAACCTGGGCCGCAAGCCCTGGACCTAAGCGCTAGACTGTCTGCTTGACACCCTACGCCTGACCATAGACCCGAACTGTCATCGGGGACATTCTGGCCCGGGTCAATCCAGACCCGGGTCAGTCAAGCCTTGCAGAATCCTGCAAGATCCTGCAAGATCCTGCACCCAAACCCGGGTCAATGCGAGGGGTCCTGCAAGATCCTGCAGGATCCTGCACCCAAGCCCGGGGCAATGCGACCCTGGCCCTGCAGGATCCTGCAAGACCTGGCGCCCTGGCTGACCCCCGCTTGCATTGACCCCCGTCTCGAGGCTCCCGAACTGTCAACCGACGACCACCGGAGCCTCCCGGAGGTCCGCCACCGACTGCTCGATGGAGTACGCCCCGCTCTCGGCGGGCGGCGCGTCCGAGCGCCCGCAGCCCAGCTGGTCGTAGAAGATGGCCGGGCGACGTCAGCCGGCCACCGCACCCGTCCGGAGTGCTGAGACAAGCAGCCCTGAGGACCTGCAGACTGATCTCGACCTGCTCACACCCTCGACTGGAATCTAGAGTCCAGATGTCGAGGTCCTGGCGCTATTCTTTGACCCTCGTGGAAGGTCAGCTTTGGAGGTCTCAGAGCCTCTGGGTGGCTGAGTCTTTGGGAGGCGGGGGTGGGTTTCGTATTTCGCCAAGTGTCCGACGGATTCCGAACCTACCCCCGCCGCCCATCGGGTTGCCCGAATCGTTGATCGGCGAGGGTGTCGGCGGCGAGCGAAGGGGGGAAGTGAGAAGGAGAAGGCCTTCTCAGAAGGCGGCGAGGCTTCTCAGACGCGCTCTGGTCCTCCGAGAGGTCTCCTGCGTCTCCGGAGGAGGCTCAAGGAACCTCCCAGAAGGCCGGGAGACTTCCGAACCTTCTGAGAAGACCAGCCCCTCCTCATGCACTTCCCCCTTAAGCTCGCCGCCGAGGGTTGGCTTCGAGCTTCGCCGCCGAACCTCAGAGCTGACGCCACCCGCCCAGGCCCCCGACGTCGTGATCTTTCCTCATAACGCCGACTCCCAGAAGTCCCGACCCTAATCCCCAGGACCGGCTTCTCGTCCGGTTCGCGGCGCGCAGGAGTGGGGTATAGGGGGAGGGGGGAAAGGCCTCTTAGAAGGGAGCTACTTCTTAGGAGGCGCCGGCCTTACACTTACAGAGCAGGCCTGCGCCTTCTAAGCAGCAGCCTCCTTCCAATAGGAGCCTCCCCACCTCCCCCTGTAAGCCCCCCTCTGCGCGTGGCCGATCCTGAGTCGTGCTTTGAGGGTCCTGAGGCCAACTGACGGCCCCCAGAGGCCGAAAACAGCAACAACCCAAACCCAGAGATCCGATGTCGTGATTTTTTCAAAACTGTGTCCCCGGATGTCCCGTCCCTTCCCCTGGACCAGTTTTTCATCCTGGGGAGAATCTGTGCCCACGAGTCTGGCCACCCAAACAGGCCAACCGATCGAGAAATCCTCAAAATCTGGCCCCCCTGGGGGGCGAAAATGAGCGCCTCGCTCGAGACAGTCCCGGGGCCCAGCGAGGGTCTCTAGAGGCCGAAGAGGGCGAAAAAACGCCTCCGTCTTGACTCTCTCAATGCGCTGGATCTCCAGGAAAAAACCCTGCGGTCGTGCTTTTGCTCGCGACGCGCCGGGCTTCGGACTGCGCCGCCAGAACCTCAGGGCCGACGCCCCCCGGAGCTGACGGGCCGGCGGTCCGGGAGCCCCTCCAGCGGCCAGAGGTAGTCGCTTGGCACCTGCGGTTATGTCGGGCGTGACTCCCTACAGGGGGACTTTCGACGAAAAATTAAAAAGACCCAAAAATACCCCAGAAAGGTCAAACAATATTCAAAAAATAGTGACCTGACTATTTTTGGACTATGTTTGTACTATTTGGGGGTATTTTTCATCCTTCGTCCAAAAATTCTTGTAGGGGGACAGGCCCCACTTGTACCTGCGGGCCGCCGTGGAGGACCACCAGGGGCGGCGGCGAGGATCGGCGGCGAGCGAGGGGGGGGCAGCGAGAAGGAGAGGAGGCCTCCTCGGAAGGCTCGGCAGGTCCCCCTTGCCATCCGAAAGGCTCGGAAGGTCCCCATCAGAAGGCTCGGAAGGTCCCCATCAAGCTCGGAAGGCCTTCTCAGAAGGCTCGGAAGGTCCCCATGGCCATCTGAAAGGCTCGGAAGATCCCCATCAGAAGGCTCGGAAGGTCCCCCTGGCCATCTGAAAGGCTCGGAAGGTCCCCATCAGAAGGCTCGGAAGGTCCCCATCAGGCTCGGAAGGCCTTCTCAGAAGGCTCGGAGGGTCCCTGGCCGTCCGAAAAAGGCTTTCTGAGCGCGAGGGCTTCTGGGAAGTCCCGCCGCCTTCTGAGCAGGCCTGCTCCTTCTCGCTTCCCCCCCTCGCTCGCCGCCGAGACGACCCGCCGGAGCGCGCGAGCTCGTCCGGCCGGACGACGCGGTACCACAGCCTGTGGCTGCCGCCCTGCACGCGGACGTAGCCCTCCCTGGCACAGAGCCCAGACCCCCTCGCGCAGTGAAGCAATCACGACGGAAATTTTCGGCCATTGTCGGCCACCCGGGGCCCTCAGCGGGCCCAGGGGCCGCCAAAGAACACAGCTCCAGATGCAAAACTGGTCCTGTGGAAAGGGTCCAGACCTCCGGGGGTCGACGTTGTGAAACAATCACGACGCCGGGGGTCTGGGAGAGCAGAAAAACCACCCTCATGATGAGCATCCCGACCAGAGAAGCCGCTCAGTAAACACACCCATAGGAAGGAATCGAACCGGGTAGAGCTGTTCCATAAACGCCCCGGTCCGTGTGGTAAACGCCAAACGCCAACCATCGGGGTGGGTGTTTTTGTCCTTCCTTGATGGCAGGAGCGAAGAGAAATAAACAAAGATAAAAGGACGAGCGCGTCAGAAACAGATGTCCGACGAGGTGCTTTTGTTTCGGTTCGGGCGCTTACTTCCTCGACGCCAGTCGTGATCGAGCTCCCAGAGCACCAGAAAATGGAAGCGGGACAGAGCACCAACGGGTCGGGGCCATGGATTGAAAACCACGTATCGGTGGTTGTCAGAGAAGAGCAAGAAAAAAGAAGAAGGCCGAGCACGTCAGAGGTGCATTGGCCAAGCGGCGAAGGATTTCCGGTGTGATTTCCAACAGCTGTGGTACGTCGAGGGCGTTCCTGGGGTGCCAGCATTATCGCCCGTGGCTGGAGCTGTGGCCCGCAAAACAGACACCCTCGCGTCGTGAAGTGTAGTTGCGTGTTCAGTGTGCGATGTGCGAGTGTGGTGGTATCCAGCACCCAACACTGGTCTATCTACAGTGGCTGTGTCCTGGCGCACGTGTATTCAGCATTTTTTCCTGCACATTTCTTGGCCTTCGTTTGCATAACAATGTGTGCCGATGCGCCGTCGAGGTGCGGCTTCTTCCTGTCCTGTCCTGTCGTGAACAAAACCACGGCGGACGGTTTTTGGCAACTGCTAGCCCCTAGGGGCCCTGACCAGGACCCCGGGAGCGTCAAGGAAATTTTCGGGATGCACAACCAGTCCAGGGGAAGGAGTTCCGTCCTCTGGGAAGCCACACTGCAAGCAAATTGCACGACGTCGGATGTCAGAACAGAAAAAAACCAGACACCTTCACGATTTGGCAGAAACTAAAAATAACAAAGAAAAACAGCAGGAGCATCATCTTTCGAAGGTCTCCACGGGATCTGCACTGAACCTCCCCTTGCGCGCGGAGCGTGCCAAGGGTGGTGCAAGAGGCGACGCCGATCCCAGAGCCAGTCCCGGAAATCCGCGCGAACCTCCGAAAGCGTACTTATATGTGAGAGAGAGAGAGAGAGAGAGAGAGAGAGAGAGCGCGTTTCACGGGCACTTGCCTTGGGAACATTCGGCGGCGCGTTTCGAACCAGGGGGTGGGCCCCCTCCAACACTCGGCGCCGTCGACCAAAACCAAGGGGACTCCCCTAACCCCCCCCTCCCGAAACCCCATGGGGGTGGTCCAAAACTCCCCCCCCCACGGCGCTGGCGCCGGCGCCAGCGCTGGCGGCCGCCAACAGCGCCGACGGCGGGGACGCAGCGACGATGCCCAGAGGCAGCCCAAGGGGGGGATGGTTCCAACCCCCCTCCACCCCCCGCGCCGGCGCCGGCGCCGATGCCGGCGCCGGCCAGCAGCGCCGACGGCGGGGACACAGCGACGATTACCAGAGAGGGCCCAGAGGCCGCAGAGGGAACACACAAATCGCCATGTCGAGCCCTCGCCCCCCAGAAGCCACCGAAAGGCCGGGAGGTCCACGCGGCTTCACACATGCTACATGCTCCTCAGACGCCCCCGAGACCCTTCTGACGAGACCTCAAGAAGCATCTGACCCAAAGCCATCACACGGTGGCGGGAAGAGCCGAAGGCCACACCACCACCACCACAAACTACAACACCGCCACCACAACCACCACCACCACAACCACCACAACCCACCACCACCACAACCACCACCATCACCACAAACCAGTCGATCCCGCTTTCCTCCGTCGCGCACGTGGCCCCCCAGAGGTCTTGACCCCGTCCCGGGGACCAGCTTCCCATCCCGAACCATTTGAGTTGGACGGCCCTGGGGCCCTGCATTGGCTCCTGGGCGCCAACCGCTGCCAAAACCACGGGGCCAAAAGGCATACACCACCCACCACCACCACCACCACCACCAAACCCACCACCACACCCACCACCATCACCACCACCACCACCACCACCACCACCACCACCACCACCACCACCACCACCACATCCACCACCCACACCCACACCCACACCCACACCCACACCCACACCCACACCTACACCCACACCCACACCCACACCCACACCCACACCCACACCCACACCCACACCAACACCACCACCCACCACCCACCACCCACCACCCACCACCCACCACCCACCACCCACCACCCACCACCCACCACCCACCACCCACCACCCACCACCCACCACCCACCACCCACCACCCACCACCACCACCCACCACCCACCACCCACCACCACCACCACCACAACCACCACCACCACCACCACACCCACACCCACACCCACGGAAACAACCACACCCACACCCACACCCACACCACACCCACCCACCAACCACACCCACACCCCACCACACCACACCCACCACCCACACCCACCACCACCACACCACCCACCACCCCATCACCACCACCACCCCCACCACCACACCCACCACCACCACCACACCCACCACCACACCCCACCACACCACCACCACACCCACCCCCACCCACCACCCACCACCCACCACCCACCACCCACACCACCACCACCCACCACCACCACCACCACGACCACGACCACCACCTCCACCTCCACCTCCACCTCCACCTCCACCTCCACCTCCACCTCCACCTCCCTCATCCCCTCCCTCATCCCCTCCTCTCCCAGGAAAGAGAAAAGAGGGTGGATGAGGAATGCGGGAATGGAGGAGAATAATAAGAAATAAACGCCGTAAACATCAACTTTTGGCGCTCCGCACGGCGTTCTTGGATTGGCGCTGCACCCCCCTCCCTGGCGCGCGGAGCGCGCCAGGGGCGGCGCTGGAGGCGCCACCAGGGGGGCCCAGCGCGTATCAAAGAAATCCGCGCGGAGCGCCAAAAGTGTATGGTTATGCAGTTGTTTCTTCTTCAAGGGAGGGGGAATCGAGGAGGTGGTGGTGGTGGTGGTGGTGGTGGTGGTGGTGGTGGTGGTGGTGGTGGTGGTGGTGGTGGTGGTGGTGGTGGTGGTGGTGGTGGTGGTGGTGGTGGTGGTGGTGGTGGTGGTGGTGGTGGTGGTGGTGGTGGTGGTGGTGGTGGTGGTGGTGGTGGTGGTGGTGGTGGGTGGTGGTGGTGGTGGTGGTGGTGGTGGTGGTGGTGGTGGTGGTGGTGGTGGTGGTGGTGTCGGTGGTGGTGGTGGTGGTGGTGGTGTATATCACTGGGGTCCGCAAAAGAAAAACCTTCCGCTGTGAGAGTTGTTCGAAACGCGACCAGGGATCTGGCCTTCCGCTTCTTAACTAGCTCGTGCCTCCGCCGGCCGACCACCGGATGCCCCTAGGCACCGCCAGGGAACGCCCTCCACCGACGCCCAGCAGCTGCTGGAAAGCCTCCCGAGACTGCTAGCGGCCTCTGAGCTGGGGTCCGGTCGCAGGACCGCGCCGCATCACCGATACAGCGGCGATGCATCGGCGACGCATCCGCGATGTACCAGCGATGCAACGTCCGCATCGGCGGTGCATCGGCGACGTCGACGTGGAGCAAGTCGGGCTCCACATCGAGCCGCATCGCCGAAGCATCATCGCCGAAGCATCGGCGATGCGGCACGATCCTCCGATCCCATCCACTCCGACCCCAACTAGGAGGCCTAGAGCTGCAAAATCGCCAAGAGTGAAGGGGCCCTGGGACACACAAATAAATACACACAAATAAAATGATTCCCCATATTTTCCCATGTTTTCTGTTTTTTTGTCTTCCCGCCCAATTCCCATATTTTCTCATATTTTCTTGGGAATCGACAATTAATTGTGTCTGTATGTTTTTTCCCCTCCTGAAAGTAGCAGCGAAAGCGTCCGAAAACCTCCCAGGGACTGCGGAAACCTCCAAAGACGGCGACGAGGGCGACGACGACGGCCGTCGTCCTCGCGGGCGGCGCGCTCAGCGCCAGCGGCCGCCAGCTCGCCGCCGCCCAGAGCAGCAGCGCCCAGGGGAGGAGGAGGCCCCCCGGGCCCGGGCGGGGACCGGCCCTGACCTCCCACAGTGCCAACAGATAGCCCTCGTGACCTGTGGACCTATCTCTGGCCATCGTTCGGACGTCCATTCCCTGTGCTTTTTTCGGTTTCGTGCGTGGCTTTTTCCGCCAAATGATCAAGGATGCTCCTCGATGGTCCCCGCCGAAGGAAACATGCACACGTCCGAGCGATGCCAAGATCTCGCCTCCTCAAAGCCTCGACTCGCGTTTAGGTGTCGAGGTCCTGCAGTCATTTGCTGCTGCCCTCCCGGAAGGCCAGGGAGGGCGGCCCGCTGGGAGGGGAGCGCAGAGGGGTGGGCCCAGGCTCCCTCGCGTCGTGAAAGCACACGACGCGGGAGTTTTTCTCGCAGCTCTTGGCCCTGTGGGGGCCCTCGCCGGGCCCCAGGACCGTCAAACACTGCTCAGGAGGAAGAGCCAGCCCCGGGGAAGGGAGCCAGACACTCGGGTCGGGCGAAAGGGGGGGATATCAATGGGGAGGGTTGAGAACCAGCTCACGCAGCTGATTTTCCCGGCGCCTTCCGGCGACGGAGGCGCTTAGGTATCGAGGAATGGGCCCCTCGGTGGGGCCGAAACCAGCTGCATGCAGCTAATTTCGTACCCCCCCCAATTTCCCAATCCCCCCCTTTCGTCCAGCAGCCGTCGGTGGTTCCAAGATGGGGCCCTGAGGAGGAGGAGGAGGAGGAGGAGGAGGGAGGAGGAGGAGGGAGGAGGAGGAGGAGGGGAGGAGGAGGAGGAGGGGAGGAGGAGGAGGGGAGGAGGAGGAGGGGGAGGAGGAGGAGGAGGAGGAGGAGGTTTTTGAGAACCAGCTGCATGCAGCTAACTTCGTACCCCCCCTTTCCCAATCCCCCCCCTTTCGTCCGGCCCGAGACACCTCTGGAGGCCCACGCTCTGCAGAGAGATCATCCGGGGGTGGGAGATGCGGACGCTGCAGGCCAGGGGACTCTTCCCGAGGGCACTCCCGCGGGCACCTCCCTCGAGCGGGCGCGGGGGGGGCCAGGCCCCCCCCAGGCCCGCGAGGTCCTGACTGTCTTGCCAACCAACGCGGGGTCCTCGGAAGTCCCGATCCTTTTCAAAGGGGCCCTGGGACACACAACTAAAGACACACACACACACACATAACAGGATTCCCCACATCTTCCTATATCTTCTTGGTTTTCGTCTTCCCCCCCCACTTCCCATATTTCCTGATATTCTTGGGGATCGACGATGACTTGTGTCTGTGTGTTTTTTTCCCTCCTGATCCTTTCCCGAGGGCCACCTCTTCCTCCCGAAGCGTTCTCGGACGGCCCCAGGGCCCGGCGGGCGCACCCGAAGCCCCGAAGACGGGCAGGGCGCCATCCGCGCTTCGCCCCCGACGCGAGCCTGTCTGGGGCCGAGGGCGCCCGCCCTGAGCACACCAAAAGGAAGGGCGCCCCGCTCAGCCGGAGGGGCGCAGCCCGGGGATGCCGAGGGGCCCTCGGCGGAGGGGACCACGCCGAAGCCAGGACGAGGATAAAGACGGAGGAAGATCAGCCGAGCCTCTCTGAGATCCGGCGGCTCTGGAGGGCGCACCGGGCGCCGCGGCCTTCTCCGAGCATCCGGGAGGCTCAGAGAGGCTCCTGGAACGCTCTCTGGAACTGACTGATCCTCGTCCCAGAATGGCCCCGTGCGGGGGATCCCGCCCAAGAGCACGAGGCAGGCCGGGATACCCGGCCCGGGCTCCGCCTGTGCATCTGGGAGGCCCTCGCCACGACCGCCGTCGTCGGGGTCGTCGCCGTCGCCGTCGCTCGTCATCGCCGTCGTTGGCGCCGCCGTGGACGTCGGCGTCGCGGTGGACGTCCGCGTCGCCGTGGACGTCGGCATCGCCGTCGTCGTCTGTCGTGGACTTCGTGGTGGCTATCGTCGCCGTGACGGCAGCCGCCGTCGTTACCGTAATCGCCGCCGCCGCCGTCGTCTCCGCCGCCGCCGACGTCGTCTCCGCCATGGCCGCCGTGGCCGCCGTCGTCGTCGCCCCCGCCGCCGCCGCCGTGGCCGCCATCGCTGTCGTCGCCGCCGTCGCTGTCGTCGTCGGTCGTCGTCGTCGCCCCCGCCGCTGCCGCCGTAGCCGCCGTCGCTGTCGTCGCCGCCGTCGCTGTCGTCGTCAGTCGTCGGCGGCCAGTCGGTGGCGGGGGCCGCCCGAGCATGCGGCGCGCCGCGGCCCGCCGCCGCCGCCGCCGCCCAGGGCCGGGGCCGGCGGGGGGGCCGCGCATGGCGCGCGGGGCGCCGGGGCTCCAAACGCCAGCACGGAGGTGCTCTTGACCCCCGGAGGGAAGGATGGAGGGAGAGAGGGGGGAGGGGGGAGGGGTAGGGGTGGGGGTCAAGACTCCCTACCCGCCCGCCAGCCGTCTCGCTCACTCCCACCCGCCCCCCCAACGCATACGTAGCACCCGGGTCTGGTCCGAGCCTCAGCATATTCAGCAGTCGTCTTTGGATTGGCAGCTACTGGGGGCCAATCCGCCGCCGCCGCCGCCGCCGTCGCCGCCGCCGCCGCCGCCGCCGCCCAACCTATGGCGCAACCGATAAGAAACGGTTTTTTATTCTCGGCCGCCGAGGTGCCAGGAGAAGGAGGCTGAGCAGGAAGAGGAAAAACGAAAACGAGGTCATAGAGGAGGACGACGAGGAGGACCTGGAGGAGGAAGACGAGGAAGACGAGGATGATGAGGAGGACGAGGAGGAGGAGGACGACGACGGCGACAATCAAGATGGGGAGGAGGACGGGGAGGAATACGAGTAGTACGAGGACGAAGTGTGGGCATTCGAATGCGTGCGGGGCTACGCCCGATGTGTGCTCGCCGTTTGGGCTGGCGGCGGGGCCCAAGCGGCGAGCTGTCTTGTGCTTCCGCGACGCGAGTATGTTTGGGTATGCGTCGGGCCCCTCCGAGGCCCCGCACGCGCCGGCGCCTGGGAGGGCGCCATCGCTGGCGCGCCAAGAGGCCCGGCGCCCGCGCCGAGAGCGCCTAACTACCTCGGCGGCTGGGCCGTGCTGGTTATGGCCTCTCTCGGTGCCGGCTGCCGCGCAGGAGTGGCCCCCCCGGGCAAGGAGTGGCCTCCCCACGGCATTGCGAGCGTGTTCTTATTCGGCATGTCGACCTTGAGCGGAGGGGGGGGGAACCTGACCTTCAAGGAGAGCTAAATTATCCCAGTGCGACCCTACCTAGGAGTTGGAGCATCTAGGAAAACAACATCTACATCTACACCGACAGCTACATTAACATCTACACCTGCATCTACAGCAACATCAACATCAACAGCGAGACTCACACCTACATCTACATCCACACCTGCATCTACACCTACATCTACATCTACATCTACATGTACACCTACATCCACATCTACATCTACACCTACATCTACATCTACATCTACAATGTCGCAGTGGTGTTGCTTTTGCATTTCATGCTATGCTATGCTGTGCTAATGCTGCGCTGCGCTATGCTGCGCTGCGCTAAGCTAAACGAAGGTAAGCTAAGCTATGATTCGCTATGGTATGTTATGATATGCTGCGCTATGCTATGCTATGCTATGATATGCCGCGCTATCCTATGATATGCTAGGCGATGATATGGCATGCTGTGGTGCGCTGTGCTATGCTACGCTATGCTATGCTATGCTGCGCTATGTTATGTATGATATGTTATGCTGTGCAGTGCTGTGATATGATATGCTATGCTGGGCTGTGCTATGCTAAGTAATGCTATGCTATGCTATGTTATGAGATGCTGCGCTATGTTTTGCTATGATATGATGTGTTTTGCTGGGCTATGCTGTGCTATGCTATGCTATGTTATGCATGGCTATGCTGTGCTATGCTAATGCTGCGCTGTGCTGTGCTGCGCTAAGCTAAGCCGGGCTAAGCTAAGCTAAGCTAAGCCAAGCCAAGCCAAGCGAAGCTAAGCTAAGCTAAGCCAAGCTAAGCTAAGCTAGGCCTAGCTAAGCTAAGCTAAGTTAAGCTAAGCTAAGCTAAGCTAAGCTAGGCTAGGCTAGGCTAGGCAAAGCGAAGGATCCTGGGGGAACCGCGGGGCGGATCCTGGGGGAACCGCCCGGGGCGTAGTCCACTGTCCGGCCCTTTAAGCACACCGAGTAAGAACCCTGCTAGGCAGAGCCTAGGTAGGGAAAAATAACACATGCACCATGGCGTCGAAATTCCCGTCGGTGGGTTTAACCAGTCCTGATAGGTCTACAGGTCCGGAGGGCCATTTTCTAGCACTCTGGAAGGTCGGGGGGGGCTCCAGACCTCTGTTTGGTGTGACTGTTTGCGACAGTGCATCCAATGAGGGAGACCCCACCTGGTCGATACAGGCGCCAAAAACAGCCAAGATCTACTCCATGGGGGGCGGGAGGGGGGGTGCGAGGGCCCGCGCCGATCGGCAAGGCAACGCATAAGACGACGATCGCATCCTTGCGCCGTGAACAAATCACGACGAAAGGCGCTCGAGACGACGTGCGGCCTCGAGGGCCCTCCCCTGGCTCTGGGACCATGGGAAGAGGGCTCGGCTCCCCGGGGAAGAATTCGGACCTCTGGGGGGCCACCCTGTGAAAAGTTTGCTGCGTCGGCGGCTGGGCAGAATAGTTGCGCTGGCGAAGAGCTATCTAAGCGGGGGCGCCGTTTGGCAAATTGTGCCACAATCCACACTGCAGGGGAACAGGGGAAGACGGGGAGGGCGGCCGCAGGAGTGGGGAAGGGGCGAAGGCCGCTCAGGGGGACGGGTCACGCCCGAAGCGCGTGGCGCGGCCGGCCCCGCCAGCGCGGGCGGCTGTGTAAAAACCAACGGCGTCGAGTGTCTGCGCCAGGTGCGCGGCCTGCCTATCGCCGCGTGCGCCGCGGCAGCAGCCGCCTGCGTGCGCATGGCGCGCTGGGGCTTAGATGGCGCGGCTTCTCCCGTGCTCTGAAAATCGATGTTTCTTGGAAGGTTGGGGGCTTGCTTTTCTCAGTTTGGGGGTTCTCGCTCGTGTCGTGTAGTATCTGTGTTGGGCTGCAGCGTCGGCTGACCGACATGCGAAGACAACATGTAAAACATCTGTTAAACAAGAGAAACGCCCCGGGCGTTTCTAACATCCACCAAGTGTTCCCTGATAGTTCATGGGGAGCTAGCTAAGAGGGCTTCAGATGAGAAGCTGGCAGGCAAGGGTCGGCCAGCTTCCTCTCCACGGCTGCCGGGCAGGCATCCCCGCGGCGCCTCGCTGGAATTCGCAGCGTGTCTTGTTGGCGTTTCCCCTGCTCGTTTCCAACACGTGTGCGGCAAGCCTTCGCGCAGCTCCTCCGCAGCGCTTCCCGTGGACTCGCGCGCAGCTCCCACTTCAAGCCTGCAAGATTGCCGGGCATCCTTTCAAACTTCCTTGCCACTGTCTCCTATAACCGGAAAACAAAAACGTCATAAACGTAAGCTTTGGCGTTCCGCGCGAAATTCTGGGATCTGCGCAGACCCTCCTCCCTGCCACGCGGAGCGCGCCAGGGGCGGCGCCGGATGCGCCGCGGGGGGGCCCATCGCGGATGCAAGGAATCTGCGCGGAGCGCGACAAGTTTGTGTTTCTGGTGTTTCACTCTGGCGAAGGGTCACTCCAGCGGAACGGCCACTCCTTACGTTCTGCTGTAACTCAGGGAGCCTCCCACACCATCTGGCTGGCTCGCGCGAGTCGACGCTCATCGACGCTAGCTCGACGCTACATCGACGCTGAATCGACGCGAATCGATGCTAGCCGACGCTAAATCGGCGCTCTGTCATCGACTACCCTACGCTAGTACTAGACAGGAATCCACTCTGAAGACGGAGTTGCGAGGGTACACATAGAGACCTCCCAGATGAGGTCCAAGTAGATAGGGTCGGAGGATCGCGCCGCATCGCCGATACGCCGGCGATGCATCGGCGATGCATCGGCGATGCACCGGCGATGCATCGTCGACGTGGGCGATGCATGGGCGACGTCAACGTGAAGGAAAGTGGGCCCCACATCGAGCCACGTCATCGATGCATCGGCGATGCGGTGCGATCCTCCGACCCCCTCTGCTCGGAACCCCCTCTGGGAGGCCCAGAGCACTCGCCATCGCCCGGACGTCCATTCCCTGTGCTTTTGTTTGGTTTCGTGCGTGGTTTTTTTTTTCGCCAAATGATCAAGGGTGCTCCTCGATGGCCCCCGCCGAGGGAAAAATGCACACGTCCGAGCGATGCCAAGAGAGCACAAGCCTCCCACGATCTGCTGCCGAACTCACAGGCCGCTGTCGGGAAGACAGCGTGCAAGACCGCCGTGCTGCGAGGGCCGCGCTGCCCCTGCGAGGGCCCCTCGCCTGCGCACGCCGCGCCTCCGTGGGGACCCCTCCTGTCCGGAGCACGCCTTGCCCGCGACGGGGTGGAGGATCGGCGCTGGACAAACCTCCCTTTAGCACTCCAGATCTCGTAGTAAAAGGGAGGGGGTCTCGACCCTCCCAGAGGAGAAGTCTTAGACCCCCCCCGTGGGAGAACCCTCCAAAACATCGTCCCCAGACCCCCCCAGGCCCTCCAAGATAGCCTGGAGGAGACCCCCCCCGAAATGAGACCCCCCTCCTTTTATTACGACATCTGGAGTAGACCTCCCCTTAGTGAAAACGGCCTGGGACCGAAACCGATGGACCTGGACCTGCAAAGATGACGGCCGCGGCGCCCTCCCGCGAAGCGAACACAGCCAATGCACTAATCGACGTGTCAGGGTAGATGAGGTCTGTCCAGCCCCGAGAGGACACCGTGCAGGAACAGGCGGCGCGCCCGGGGGGAGGGAAGTGCGAAAGGGCGGGCCTCCACGACAGGCTCGGACGCTCCCCGGCCTCCCGAGAGGTTCTCGGGCTGATCCGAAAGGGGGCGCAGCGACAAGGGGGTGGTGCAACCGGTTTCGTGCAACAGATTTGTGGGGTTGCAATATATTTGGGGCGTGCAATACATTCCGGGGCGCAAATGTGTTGCTGGGTTTTCGAGCGCAATACGTTACTTGCAATACATTTGCAATACAATTGCCCCACATCTATTGCACCACCCCCTTTCAGCTGGACCCCCTTTTGGGTCACCCAGAAGTTCTCTCTGAGCCTTCCCCTGAAACACAGCACACTCCTCCGAAGGCCAATGGGCCGTGGTAGCGACAGGGCCGTTTTTGTTACCGGTTCCGTTTTGCCGTTTTTGTTGCCGGTTCCGACGCCGTTGCTTTGACGCTTCCGTCGCCGTTTTTTCCCAACTCCTGCTCCGGCTCCACTCCGGGAGCCACTTCTTTTGCCGCTTCCGGTCGCCGTTCTGTGCCGTTTTCATTCTCAAGAGACACCTTTTTTTCGGAAGCGGGGAACAAACGACCCTGCCGTCTCGAGCGCGAAAGATACCCGTACCCTTACCCAGACGGGGTGGCAAGGGGCCCTCGGGGCATCACCCCCCCTGGGTCCGGGTCGGCTCCCGAAACCACCATACATACCCGTACCTAGACGGGGTGACCCAACCACCACCCCAGCTAGGTCCGGGTATGTATGGTTGTTTCGGGCACCGACCCGTACCCAGACGAGGTGGCGGCAAGGCCGAAAACGCTCTAGCGGGCGGCCCTTTTCACCCCAGCTGACCCCGGGTCCGGGTATGTTTTGGGCTAGTGATGCCGCTTCTGGGGTCCACTAGAGGGCCTTCTCCTTCTCACTTCCCCCCCTCGCCCGCCGCCAGCGGGGGGACGAGGAGCGAGGTCCGACACGGAGGAGCAGGAGGAGGAAACGGAAGAGGACGAGGGGGAGGAGGAGGAGGAGGGGGAGGAGGAGGAGGAGGAGGAGGAGGAGGAGGAGGAGGAGGAGGAGGAGGAGGACGAGGAGGAGGAGGACGAGGAGAAGCAGCGCGCCAGCGGCGCCACGTCGCACGCGCTATCCTCCCAACGCCGACCGCACGCCGCGCACAGAGAGTCCGCCGACCTCCGCGGGGGCGGTGCTCACCCCCGGAGAGCCCCGCAGCCGCGCGCGGCAGCGGCAGCAGCGCGGCCCCCGCGCGGGCACGCACGCCGCGCCGAGAAGGCCCTGCAGACCGAGGCGTCGCGGGAGGCACGGAGGAGTGAAGCGGGCCCTGACTGAAACGAGCCCTCCAGTCGTGTGAGTGCTTTCTTTTCTTCGGCGTTGCGGCACTGGGCGAAAAGGCGGGGGGGTGGGGGTCTGGCTCCGGACATCTGCTCAATGCCACTGTCTGCAGCAGTGCGTCCCATGGAGGAGACCCCACCTGCTCGAAGCAGGCGCTAGAAACAGCCACTATCTAGGGGGAGGGGGGCGTGCGAGGGCCCGCGCCGATCGGCAAAACAATGAATAAGAAACCGATCACCTGACAGAAACAGGCCCTCCAGTCATCACGCCTCCATGAAAGGAACCCTGAATCACCCTGAGATCTGGGCGTCGCAGGTTTTTCCCCAACCATCATGTGGTGCTGGGTCCTCGTTTTGATGAGAAGGTCACCGTGTTCCCTCCTTCCTCCTCGCTTCCCCCCCCATCCACCGCGCGCATGCGTCACGCACATTCGTTTTGGCACACTCCTCACACGTTTCGTGGCCCTACAGGGAGCTCCACCGAAGGCCCCAGTGCCACCAACGGCATACGTCACGCACACCGAATTTCGGTACACCCCTCACACGTTTCCTGGTCCCACATGCAGCTCCACCGAAGGCCCCAGTGCCACCGCCCCCATGCGTCACGCACACCCATTTCGGCACACCCCTCAGACGTTTCGTGGCGCCATAGGGCCATAGGGAGCTCCACCGAAGGCCCCAGCGCCACCGCCCGCATGCGTCACGCACACCCATGTCGGCACACCCATCACATGTTTCGCGGCATCGTAGGGAGCTCCACCGACGGCCCCAATGCCACCGCCCGCATGCGTCACGCACACCCTTTTCGGCACAGCCCCCACACGTTACGTGGCCCCATAGGGAGCTCCACCCACCGAAGGCCCCAGTGCCACCGCCCGCATGCGTCACGCACGCCCATTCCGGCACACCCCTCACACGTTTCGTGGCCCCACAAGGAGCTCCACCGAAGGCCCCAGCGCCACCGCCCGCATGCGTCACGCACACCCATTTCGGCATACCCCTCACACGCTTCGTGGCCCCATAGGGAGCTCCACCGAAGGCGCCAGTGGTTGCGTTCGCATGCGCCAGCCGCACCCAATTCGGCACACCCATCACATGTTTCGCGGCATCATAGGGAGCTCCACCGACGGCCTCAACGGCTGCGTTCGCATGCGCCCCCCGCGCCTATTTCGGCACACCTTTCACGCGCTTCGTGGCCCCATAGGGAATTCCACCGACGGCCCCAGTGGCTGCTTTCGCATACGCCCACCGGACACATTTCGGCACACCCCTCACACGTTTCGTGACCCTCTAGGGAGCTCCTCCGAATGCGGTGCATACAACGACGGCACTCACAACTGCAGATGGTTGGGTCTTTCGCCAGGATAATTTGTTCGCACGCAGGTCGATTCCGCCCGAACGAGAACTGCAGAAAGATGTGGTCCCGGGCCCTGGTCGTGATTGCTCACCATGCCTCGATTGCTCGCGACGTCGGCTCTGATGCAAGGACCGAAGGAGCTTTCCTGGCCACGGCGAGCCTCGGCCACGACGAGGGTCCCCGACCTGGATCTGCGGAGCGGCCCGGCCCGGAAGCGGGAGCCCATGCTGAGCCCGCAGGGGCCTTCATGTCAGCGCCTCGATCGCATAGCACCCCCGGGGGACTTCTCCAGGAGGAGGAAGAGGAGGAAGAGCAGGAGGAGGAGGAGGAGGAGGAGGAGGAGGAGGAGGAGGAGGGAGGAAAAAGGGAGGAGGAGGAGGAGGAGGAGAGGAGGAGGGGGAGGGGGGGAGGGAGGAGGAGGAGGAGGAGGAGGAGGAGGAGGAGGAGGAGGGGAGGAGGAGGAGGAGGAGGAGGGAGGAGGAGGAGGAGGAGGAGGAGGAGGAGGAGGGAGCAGCTCTCCTGCCCCGAGCCGCTTCCAGACGTTCCTGGGGCCCCCGGGGGGGGGCCCACGGCCGGGCCGAAGACGGCGAGACGCCGCCAGGACGTACCCTCTCCACCCTGGGAGGTCCGACGTCGCGAGCACATTGGGCGCCCGAGGTATCCGGTGTAACTCGGGCCCGGGGCAACTCGGGCTCGGGTTCCCGAAAACAAACCCGAGTTAGCCCCGACCCGAGTTACCCCTGATGATTCGGGGCTCTGGGCGCCCGAGGTATCCGGTGTAACTCGGGCCCGAGGCAACTCGGGCTCGGGTTCCCGAAAACCGAACCCGAGTTAGCCCCGACCCGAGTTACCCCTGATGATTCGGGGCTCTGGGCGCCCGGGGTATCCGGTGTAACTCGGGCCCGGGGCAACTCGGGCTCGGGTTCCCGACAACCGAACCCGAGTTAGCCCCGACCCGAGTTACCCCTGATGATTCGGGGCTCTGAGCAAAGATATGCCACAGCACGAACAATCGTTGATGGGTCTTGGGTTTACGCTGGTCCTCCTCCTCCTCCTCCTCCTCCTCCTCCTCCTCCTCCTCCTCCTCCTCCTCCTCCTCCCCCCTCCTCCTCCTCCTCCTCCTCCCCCCGTCGCCACCAGAGCCCTGTAGACCTTAGTTTTCTGTGGCATGCTTCGCGCCCGATCGTTTTGTAAGGGCCAGCGGGGGCCCGAAGCTGGGCGTGTCAGGAAATTGCCATGCCCAGATCTCAGGCTACGCATTGTACTCCTCCTCCTCCTCCTCCTCCTCCTCCTCCTCCTCCTCCTCCTTCTCCTCCTCCTCCTCCTCCTCCTCCTCCTCCTCCTCCTCCTCCTCGCGCCCAATCCTCCTCCAGCTCCGCCAGACGTCGCTGGTCGGCGGAGTCCCCCATCGTACTTGAGGACAGCATTCCAGAACTAGTCTCGAGCACCCCGAGAAGTATCGAAAGAAAGTCTGCCCGACATGCTGGCGAGGTGTCCAACGAGCATCGCCTCCCAAGGCCCGGCACGTGAAGACCGTCCAGCTCCGATGCTGTGTTGGTGCTCGACACTCCTTTTGGTGGTCAGGGCTACAGTAGGCTCGAATCCTAAAACTCAGGGAAGAAACTCCAGGACCCGCTTGCTCCAGTTGAGCAAGGGATCGACCACCAAATCCAAGTTACCCCACACTTGATTTGTCGGCCGAGCCCACGAACACATGCGAAGACTGTTCCGTAGACCCATGAATGACGAACCAACGACACACACACACACACCCATACCCATAGGGGGGTCGGAGAGGGCTGTGGGTGCGTGTTGTCGGATGGGGCTCCCCGCTCGAACGGGAGCGTTCCCCAGGGTCCGACCACCCGCACCCATACCCATAGCCAGTCCTCCTCTCAACGACCCCCCTACGGGTATGGGTGTGTGTGTGTGTGTGTGCGTGTGTGTGTGTGTGTGTGTGTGTGTGTGTGTGTTGCTCGTTCGTCATATGAACACTCTATACGTATTTCTCGTAGACTCGACGAGAAAATCAGTCCTGGGGCAGCTCCATCCTGCAGTCGATCCCCTGCTCGATCCCCTGGCGGCCGAGGGCGCTAGGGGGCGCGCTCCCTAAGGGCCCGCGCCGGCCTCTCAGCGGCCGAGCTCGGGCTCCACCACCGTGCGGTACACGGAGCTGGCGCGGGCCAGCAGCGCCGAGCGGGTGCCCTCCTCCACGACGCGGCCCTCCTTGGGACGCGACAAATTGAAGGGGCCCCAGGACACAAATAAATAGACACAAATAAAAATACTCCCCATATTTTCCCATATTTTCTGCGGTTTTGCAAAATTTCCAATATTTTCCATATATTCCCAATTTCCCCATATTTCGCCACATTTTCCCCAAATCTTCCCCCCCACTTCCCATATTTTCCCATATTTTCCTGGGAGTGAACGATTGATTGTGTCTGTGTGTGTTTTTCCCCTCCTGACAAATGGGCGACGATGAAAACCGGGTCTTACGCGAGATGGCGTGGCGACCTTACGCGGTGGCTTACGCGGGCTGCCGCCGCGGCGCGCTACTGTGGAAACGAGAGCGCTCACGCGCGACCTTAGGCGAGGAGCTTGCGCGCGAATGCCGGCGCAAACGACACCGTTTTTTTTTTTTGCGTGGCTCAAATGGATACGGAAGAAATGGGCACGATGCTCCACAACAAACCCTGAGATCTGGGCGTTGCAATTCTTGTTCGCGCCCGGCGTCTTCGCTTTGCTTCTGGTCCCAGGACCCTCGCGGATCGATCGGGCCCGATGAATGGCGCAGACAGACGGGGTCCAGGGGCTCTGGTCGTGATTTGTCACGATGTTTGTTTTGTTCGCTATGGATGTTGTCTCACACTGGCAACGGCCGATGTCTGCCTCGAACGGACGACGTCCGCGGCACTGGCACCGACAGCGAGCCCTATACAGTAATGGGCAAGCTGCTGCCAGTCTATTTCCGCAGTCCTTCGGATCGCACCGACCCAGACATGCGATGTGTTCATTTTTGTCAATACGGGGTCCATGGAAGTCCAGACCCTTTCGCCAGGGCCGGAGTTTCATCCCGAATCGTTTTTGGATGGTCCAGGGGCCCAGCAGGGGCCCCCGAAGACTGAAACTTGTAAAAGACCTCCCGCCGCATTCTTCCACGACGAAGACATATCGGGGTACTTTAGTAGTGGAAAGAATTGGTTTTCAAAATGTTTGGTCTTTAGAAGCTCTGCGTGGCGACGCCCCCGTCGCCACGCGTGCCCTTTGCGTGCCTGAGGGGGCGCCGCCACGTAGAAGTACTGGAGGCCGAGCACGTGGGGCGTCGCTACGCACGCCCTCTGCGTGGCTGCGACCATTTGTTAAAACCCTAAAACCAATCAAATTCACTAATAAAGTACTGATCGCACCGATCCTGCAGCACCACCACGCGGTGTGCCCGGGCGACGGTCGTGACGCGGTGCGCCGCGACGAGGACCGTGCGGCCCCGGGCGGCGAGCTCCGCCAGGGCGCCCGCGACGGCCTCCTCGGTCTCGCCGTCGAGCGCGGAGGTCGGCTCGTCCAGCAGGAGGATGGGCGCCCCGCGCACGAGCGCCCGCGCGAGCGCGAGGCGCTGCCGCTGGCCTCCCGATATCCTGGTAGGCAGCATTCGTCACAGCATGGATCATGGTCGGCCTCGGCATCAACGGCCACATCGGCGCCACCATCAGCAGCAGTCTCATCAGCATCGACATCATCACGACCATGCCCAGCATCGTCGTCCATGGCATCACCACGCTCATTACCACCACCATCACGATCACCATCACCGCCATCATCACGACCACCTCCGCCGTCATCACCGCCACCATCATGACCATCATTCTTAGTTATTACCACCATCATCGTCGTCGCCGTTATCATCATCGACATCGTAACCATCGTCGTCATCATCATCACCATCACCATCCCCACCATAACCAGAGTCATCAACCATATCATCACTACCACCATCGACATCATCATCATCATCGTCACCATCATTATCACAATCATCGTCATCACCACCACCATCATCAACATCATCATCATCATCATCATCATCATCATCATCATCATCATCATCATCATCATCATCATCATCATCATCATCGTGATCATCAACATGAGTATCGTCATGTTCATCACCATCACCACCAACAACAACATCATCCGCATCACCAACATCAACATCATCCACATCACCATCACCGGCATCATCATCAACATCATCATCATCACCACCAATGCCATCAACATCACCCTCATCATATATCCTCGTGCCGCGCTCGCCGAGGCGCTCCTCGTAGCCGCCGGGCAGCGCGGCGACGAACGCCTCGGCGCTGGCGTCGCGGGCCGCCGCCTCGACGCCGCCGCTGGGGGGCTCGGCGCCGTAGGCGATGTTCTCGCGGACCGTGCGGTCGAACATGGCCGGGTCCTGGTCCACGACGCCCAGGCAGCGGCGGAGGTCCTCGGGCGAATTAGGCGCGCAGCCCCCATGGGCGCCGCCACGGCTGCACACCGGCAGGCGCCCCCTGCGGCACAGCCGGAGCAGGGCCGCAGGAGCGCGGCTCTCGAGACCCAGACCCCCCTCGAAGGGGGAAAAAAGTCACTCGCGACGGAAGGCTTCTCGCTATTTTCGGCGCCCGAGGGCCCCGGCCCGGCCTCGTTACCATCAGGACACGGCCCAGGATGCAAGACTGGTCCCCGGGGAGTGCGTCGAGGCCCACAGGGAGACAGCCCGTGCGAAGAGCAGGCCGAGGTGGTGGGCCCAGGGACGAAGAGCGCTAAAGAGCCCACAGATGACGCACGCGGCCGATCACGCACATGAGCATGGCCCTTCGATCCGCGAGACCGGACGCGTGATACGAACGCTCGCGCAGAGCGTGCTCCTAAAGCCAACGCGGACTCAGGTGCGCGCACGTCCTTCCGTCGCCCCTGAGGAGCAGGGCGCCCCCTCCGAAGCCGGGCCTGTTCGTGGCCCTCGTGCCAGCCGTGCAGAGCCCCGAGGCGAGGTCAACGCCCGCAACCCCAAGGGGCGCGGAGGGTTCGCCGGAGGCGGCGCAGGGAGAACGCTCCAGACCGCACATAATCATCCCGTGTGGGGGCCAGCCTGGATCAACTAATCAAGTGGGGGGGCCGCCGGTGCGCAGCCCAACGCCTCGCTCCAGAGCGGCCCGTACCCGGGCATCCTCGCGTTGTGGAAAAAACGCCGGACCGTGTTTTGCACAAGAACGCAGACAGCCGACAACTCCAAACAATCCCTCACCCAAGAACACATCATAACGAACTGCTCCCAGGAGCCTTCACCCGGGCCGTCAAAACAACACGCAATGAAAAGCCTGTCCCAAGGGAAGGGGTCCAGAGCTCTGGGGAATCTCGTCGTGACAATCACGACGCCAGATGTTCGGGCATGGCAGTGAGAATCCCACTCCTTCCTCGAGGCCTCCCAAATGAGGTCCGAGCAGGTGGGGTCGGAGGATCGCGCCGCATCGCCGATGCATCGCCGATGCAATCGGCGACGCGAACATCGGGGTCTGCGTCGAGCCGCATCGCCGATGCATCGACGATGCAGCTCGTTCCGGCGCCATCTGCTCCGACCCCACCTGGGAGGCCTGGAATCCCGCCCGCGAGCCCGAACTCTTCGCGGACACCGCCCTGACCAGATCTTGGGCCCCCGTCCGGCCGTGGCCACGACACCCCCCTGCTCATGAGGCAACAAGGCAGCAGACATAGCCCATCGACAAACCCAAGAATTACAGCAGCAAGGGCGAACAAGCGGGTCGCACGCATAGTAGGAGAAGCGCGGCCAGGAAACCCTGAGAACAAAAAATACGCAGCTTGGACAGAGGTGGGAGAACGGCCACATGCACCATCTGCATGTATTACAAAGGATGGCGTGGGCAAAACATGTGGCCCGCATGAGAGCGAAAACGCGATCAGTGAATCAATGTCAGCCAGCGTGGACCCAACGTGCGATGGTTCTAGCAAGCTATGTTTTGCAATCGACGTGGGGCGATATGTGTGGTGCGACCTGGTGCGATCTACGTGGTGAGATTAATCCATTGCTGTTCGCAGTGAGTTGTCAACTCTACTGCTCGCGCCACCATCCCACCCACCCACCCGCAAGTTGGTGTGCAAAACCCATGCGGCGGCGATTGCAATGAGTGCTCGGTGTTGGCTGGTGCATGCCTGCGGCCGCGCTAGCCCGCGCTAGCCCACGCATGCTCGCGCGGGCCACTTCCAGCTAGCTTGGCGCGAACGACACGGCCGCGGTGGCGCTGACCGCTGTGCACTTCCCACAGGGCACTCCACTGCGAGTCGGCGACTAGGGCGAGCGCAGTATCATGGCAACGTCGGCAAGGGTAGACACGGTGATGCCTAATGGTGACGATGATGACAACAACGACGGCAAGGCCACTGATTTCAACGATGCTGAACACGCCTACGACGATGACGGCGGCCTCGCGCCGGGGATAAAAAGAGTTGCTAATGGAGTTCGACATGCGCGCGCGGCCGACGCGCGAATGGTCCGCATGTTACTATTTGACACGGACCGTGCCCCCACTAGCACGCGCGCAAGGGCGTTCGAATGATTTCGACATGTGGCGAGAGAGGCCCGCTTGGCAGATTTGTTCATGAAACTTTGAGAAGCCAATGGTTGCCCCAAGAACTCGCAAGAGCGTGAACGCATGTTTTTTGAAAACTGCTGTTAAACAACCATGTGTGTTTTATATGTTCTCGGGACACGTAATTTTGAAATCCTTGCGAAGGCTTTTGAGTGGTTTCGGCATGCGTGCGCGACGACGCGTGCGTGTGCACTCCGCTCGATCTCTGTTGCAAGGGATTCTTCCGACAGCACGCGCACAAAGGGCGTTCGAACGACTTCGACACGCGCGCGAAGGAGGCACGATTTGGTAGTATGTTATGGAAGCGTTGAAGACCGATGGTTTTCTTGAGAATTCGCTAAAACGAGCGCAAGCTTTCTCATATAATTTTGTGATGTGAGGCCATGTGTTTCTAGATGTTTCCAAGGCACTCGATTTTGAAATCCTTACGGAACTTAATGTTGCAGCAGAATTCTGGCATGCGCGCGGGACGACGCGCGCGCGTGCACTTCGCCCCGTTTTGTGGATGGGACTCTTGAGACTTATTAATTTGTGCTAACGAATGTGGTCGCGCAGCGTTTTCTGCAGAAGATGACGGGGGGTCGATGAAGGCCTGCATGGGGCGGTGTGAACTCATAGCTGCGATGGACGATGTGGCAGAACCGTATGTGACTTGCAATACGACGGGGTGAAGCGTTCAGTCTGGTGGGAGGGGGGGGTAGATCTTAAAAGTCAGCTCGGACAAAAATTCGTTGTGCAATCAATGTGGTGCGTGGTGCACTTCGCCTTGCTGAACTTGAGGTTGACAGCTCCACTGCTCGAACAATCATCCCACCCACCCACCTGCCCACCTGCTACTTGGTTTGCAAAACGGCGGCAGCGGCCGCGCTAGCGCGCGCGAGTTCGCGCGCAGAGCGGCTAGCAAGTTTGGCGCAACCGACGCGGCCGCGGTGGCGCTGGACGCCGGGGACTTCCCAACGCAACTCACAAGCGGGCACTTCAGTGCGAGTCGGTGACCTGGGCGGGCACAGTATCATCGCGACGTCGACATCAGCAGACACGTTGATGATAGTAGCGATGACGGTGGCAATGATGACGATGGCGACGGCAAGGACAATGACGGCGCCGATGTTGGTCCCGCCGATGGCGATGATGGTGTCAAGGTGATTGTGACGAAGGTGTTGGAAGGATTTCGGCAAGCGCGCGCGGCCGACGCGGGCGAGTGGCCCGCTCGATGGTATTTGCAAGGGACCGTGCCCCGCCAGCAAGCGCGCAAAAGCGCTCGAATGATTTCGACACGCGCGCGCGAGAGGCGCGCGTGGTCGCATTCAACATCACAAACCCATTGTGTTCCTGAGCATTCGCAACGGCGCGCAATGTTCCTTGGGGGGAATAAAACTGCGAAGCGATTGTTGATATGCTTCGGAAGCCTCATGTTTGCCATCCTTAGGAAGCCCAAGGCCTAAGGTGCGTGAAGAAGTTCGGCATGCGCGCGCGACGGCGCGCGCATGGATTTTGGTCTCATGGTTTGCCCGCGATTCTTGTAAATGGATAGTGCCTGATGAACTGATGAAAGAGAGCACGCGTATAGTTTAATCCCACCAGCCCTCTGGGCGCAGGTGGTTTAGGGAGTTTCCTCTTGCACCCCCCTTCTTCCCCTTCGGGGAGGGGTTTACCCTTCCCCCCTGCCCCCTCCCCTGGACCGGGACGGGGCCAGTCGCGAGCGGTCATGGCATCCAAAACGGGACACTCCTTTTGGAACACTCCTTTTTGGAATGCTTACGCCACCTAAGGTTTTTGAATAATTTCGGCATGCGCGCGACGACGCGCGCGCACTCCATGCATTTGTTGCAAAGGACTCTTCCGACAGCGCGCGCGCAAGGACGTTCGAACGATTTCGACATGCGCGCGCGAAAAGGCCCGTTTGGTAGTATGTCATGAAAATGTTGAAAGCAAACGATGGCTTATTTATTTCGAATTCACAAGAACACGGGCGCATAATGTGTTTGAAAATCCTTGTTGCGAAACCAAATAATTAAAAGATGTTTCCGGCACTCTCGTTTTTGACATCCTCACAACACCGAAAGTTTTCGAAGGATTTCGGCACGCGCACTCGACGACGCGCGCGTGCGCATGTCATCTCGTTATTTGCAAAGGGTTCTTGAAAACATATGACTGTTGATCGGCGGGCGCGCGTATCTCTCTTTTTTGCGGAGGATCATGGGGGAAGCCGATACCGGCCTGGCTGGGGCAATACGGTGTCATATTGAAAATGTGGACTTGGGGGCAACATCACATGCAAATTGTAATACGAAAAGGTGGCCCGTTAAGTCCAGGGGGTCGAGCAGGGACCGACCGTCCCGGCATTCCTATAGTCCTACCACGACATGTTCTTAGAACCCAAAATAGTTCTAAGAACAAAACAATGTTCTTAGACCATGGACCCGATGTGTTCAAACAAAACAGTCCCAGTCAGAAATGTTCTCAGAACATTTTCTGGAAACCACAAAAGAGGTTCTTAGAACATTGCCTGGCAGGGCTATAGGCGAGCCAGGACGCTTCGCCACTGCTTGAGAGGTAGATCCCAGTTCCTTTTCAGAGGAATCGACTTTGGACGCCCGAAATGGGTACCGAAAAAATGGGTACTATGCCCAACAGCAAATGTTGTCCCAGACCAACAGCGGCCGCTGTTGGGCGGGCGGCCTCCTGTCTCGAATGGACACAGGCCGCGGCGGCGTGGACAGCGAGCCCTGTTCAAACTGAACGAGATCCGCTGTTGGGCATAGTACCCATTCTTTCCGTGCCCATCTCGGGCGTCCAGATCGACTGGCGGCACAGAGCGGCGTTTTTTTGATAGTCCCCAGACTATTTTTTGAGCATTGTTTTGCTATGTTCAGGGTATTTTTAAAAATTTGTCGTCGAAAATCCCCCCGTAGAGGAATCGAATGGCGGCAAAGAAGCGGCGACGGGCCGGCGACAGGCGACAACGCAGCCGCCAGACCGCCGACAGCCGGGCTCCGCTACGGGGCGGCGACGGGGCGGCGACGGGGCGGCGACGGCGGCCACACGGCCGCCCGGCCGGCCGTCGGGCCCGTCAGGCCCCTGACGACGGCAACGAGGCGGCGACGGGGCGGCGACGGCAGCCGCATGGCCGCCAGACGAGCCCTCCTCCTCCTCCTCCTCCTCCTCCTCCCCTCCTCCTCCCTCCTCCTCCCTCCTCCTCCTCCTCCTCCTCCTCCCCCTCCCCCTCCTCCTCCTCCTCCTCCTCCTCCGCCTCCGTCTCCTCCGTCTCCTCCTCTTCCTCCCCCTCCTCCTCCTCCTCCTGCTCCTCAGCCTCGAAGGTATCCCTATCCCTAAGATTGACACGCCAAAAGGCGATGACAATCTTAGGGGTTCGCCCTCGAAAAAGAAGGGAATCCCTGAGATTGGCATCGTGATGAGGAGGTGCCCAGCATAGGGATAGGGATCTGTTCCAGGCTGGTAATGTTCCTTAGAACAGGAAATGGTAATCCCGAAGTGCAGGCACTCTTCGGGGAATCGTGACGGAGTCTCAAGCGAAACCGCTGCCAGACCGGGCCGTCCAGCGCTCCCCGCCTCCCCTGTGGGACTCACCTGCGGTTCTTTGCAACCACGGTTAGAACTCTCGAGCGTGACGCCACTAAAGAAAGAGACGACGGACTCCCCCCTCTTCCCTCGTCCTCCGCCCTTGGCTTCCGATGGCGGGGCTCCCCGCCATCGTCGTGCGCCCGCTCGGAACGATCCAAGGGGCCCCGGAAACTCTACGCAAAGGCGCTTCGGATGGCAATCCGCCCGGGGGCTCGGAGAAACCTCCCGGAAGCCGTGGAAAAAACATGCGGCAGGTTCGCGTCGTGTCGACCCCCAGCGCCGTTTCCTGACAGCGCGAGGCTCGTCCAACCTGGACAACGAGGGGCCGTGTCCGAGACGTCGGACCCTTCCACATCGACCCACTCTGGGGTCGCCAGCGGCGACCAACCTTGAACGCCGACGGCGGGGTCGCCGACGGCGGGGTCGACACGACGCGAACCTAGGGCCGCCGGCTGGGACGGCCTCCTCGCCGCCTGGGCGGCCTCGAACTTTCCTCCTCCTCCTCCTCCTCTTCTGCCTCCTCCTCCTCCTCCTCCTCCTCCTCCTCCTCCTCCTCCTCCTCCTCCTCCTCCTCCCGAGCGCCCACCGAGATCCGAAGTCGTGGGTACCCAGACCCCCGACGTCTTGATCGTTTCGCAGCGCCGACCCCCAGAGGTCTGGGCCCCATTCCCGGGGAACCGGTTTCTCATCCCAGGTCGTTTTTTGGAGGCCGACGATAGCGAAAAACCTCCCGTCGTGATTTTTGTCACAGCGCGAGGAGGCATGGGTAATCAGGACGTCTTGCTACAATCACGACCAGAGCTATGGGCCCAGGTTTTCCGCGGCACCTCTCGAGCCGGAAATCGACGCCTGGAAACATCCTGGCGCCCGAAGCCGAGAGGCAGAGAGGCGCCCGCTGCGATTTTTCCGCACGCGGCGGCCCAAAGAGAGTCCTGCCAAATTTGCCGTGAGCCGTGCTGCAAGATGTCGTGTCGTTGGCATGGCCTGCGATAGTGCTGAGCACTGTGGGAACTCGCTCGGCACTCCTTCTGAGTACAATAGCGCGCCTGCTGTCCGCGGTTGTGAGCCATCGCAGACCCCAGGGTCGAGTCGGCCCTCCTGGGGCCGAGGCCAGTGCGGGCGGTCAGCGGTGTCGGCGACAGCCCGGCTCCCCAGGCATCCGACGTCGTGTTGTTCTTTGAAGGGGAGGGTGCCAAGGATAGAGGAAGAACAAGCTGCACGACCATACGCTTTCGGAGTTCCGCGCGGACTTCTTGCACCTGCGCTGAGTCCGCACCCCTGGCGCGCGGAGCGCGACATGGGCGGCGCCAGAGGCGCCGCCAGGGGATTCCAGCTCAGATCCAAACAATCCAAGCAGGAGTTCCGAACGCTTATGTTCATGCAGTTGCTTTTCCCGCGCAGGGTCCAGTGCAGGCGCTGGCTGCACAAAGACACTCCTTCTGAAAGAGCGCGGGAGGATGCACAGACCAGCCCCGCCCACGATGTCGTGGCGCAGGGCCCAGCTCCCTTGGCCCAGCCCGAGCACCACCCAAGAGGAGGAGCCTGGAAAGAGGACATCAGACGCAATTCCTGCGAAATCTCTGCAATTTCGATCCAGGGTTACTAGGCCCGATGCGTAAACCACTGAGCCTGATGCAACCGGGGATGCAGCCAGATTGGGCTGGATTAAGCGGGAGCAAGCTATATTACACTGGATTCTGCCAGATTGAGCCAGTTTTCAACCAGAAATAGACCATCGCCGATGCTCCCAAGAGCTGCTCAACACAAGACTCGTCGACAATACATTGACGGTTTTTGTTTTCGGCGCTTGATGTCGGCGCGACTTCCATGCTGGCATGAGGAACTTAGCCCGCGCCCTGGCATGTCCGAAATTCGGAAATGCCCTCGCAGCATTCAACAACGCGTTTTCTGACACATGCCAGAACTATCAAGCGCTTCGATACTGAACCCCATTTCAATCCATGTTTGACGAGGCTCGTAGGAGGGGTAGCCATGAAGCGGACGACATAGACATCCGACACGCGCTTTCTCAACTTCCCATGGACTGGTTTTCTCATCCTGTCAGCTGTTTTTGACGTCTGCCCAGATCTGGCGCCAAGAGGCTGTAACGTGGCTCCCCAGAGGCCTGGCCCTTTCCGGGGACCGGCTTTCCGTATTGAGTAGTTTTCTGACGGTCCTTGGGCCTGGCAGGGGCCCCTGGAACAAGATACTCGTCCACCCCAAAGATGCCCGGAAGAGGCTCCCATGAGACGCCCAAGAGACCCCAAGAGGCTCCCCCGAGGCACCCAAGACGCTTCGAGAAGCCCCCGAGACCGCCAAGAGGCCACCAAGACGCCCCAACAGGTCTACAAGAAGCTCTCGAGAGACACCCGAAGAGACTTCGAGAACCATCGAAGAGTCCTTGCCTTTCTGTTCGCCCTCCTCCTCCTCCTCCTCCTCCTCGTCCTCTTCCTCTTCCTCATACTCCTGATCTTTCTCCTCCCTCCTCCCGTTTCCCTCCTCCCTCCTCCCCGTCCACGTTCCCCTTTTCCTCCCCCTCCTCCTGCTCCTCCTCTCTGGTTCTCTCTCTGTCCTCCCCGTCTTGGGGCATGACGGCTTCTCAGCCTTCCTTCCACTGAGCGTTCCCCCACGTGTCTGATCCGCGCAAATCGTCTGGGCATCTTTTTGGGATGGGCTGGTGGGGCTGCGCGAATCGCTCTCAATTTCTGCGAGACTTCAGCCGTGGTGAGGAGGCAGGCAGATGGCCAGAATCCTGCACGCCCCGCGCGACCAGCGCGAACGTCAACGCGTCAACGCGCCCCCCGTGTCCCTACAGTCGGACCTAGGCCCGAAGAACATCCCTCAAGAACATGAGACCCTCCGCCGGCCAGAACACACACAGAACATCCAAGGAGACCCTCCCCAGGCTGCACACGAGGCTCTAACAGACACGGAGAACACTGAATCATTCAGGGTACCCTCCAGGAACCGACCTCGATCTCATGCCTCGGCCCGACTGTACTCAATGTTGGTTGGCATCGTCAGCGGGGTGCAGGATTTCGGTCAGTCGGCAGACCGACACGTCGCGTCGCTGACCGCCAATGTTAAATGGGAGGCTCGGGGGGGGGGGGGGGGGAAATCAGCATAGCAAGTTCAGGAGTCTGTCCATCAACCGGCTTTTCGGGACGAGCAGCGGTATGGGTACCTCCCCCCCCGCCGCGGCGACGACGTCGAGCCGCCCCGTCCTGGAGGTCCAGCTCCCGCAGGTCCTGGCCGTCCTTGGGCGTTGCTCAATACGGGGGGGGAGGGGGCGAGCGAGGAATTGGGGGGTGAAGAGCGGTGCACCTTTTGTACCTATGAGTTAAGTCGGGCCTGTCCCCCTACAGGGAGATTTTCGACGAAAAATAAAAAACACAAATACTCCAACAAAAATCAAAAAATAGCAAGGGGACTATTGTTTGCATATTGTCTGACCTTTTTGAAATATTTGTGGGGTATTTTAAACTTTTCGTCGAAAAATCCCCCTGTAGGGGGACACGCCCGACATAACCCTAGAGGGGCACGTTCTCCCCGAGGCGTTTTTTTGACGGCCCCGAGGCCCGGCACAGGGCCCCCGGATGATAGAAACAGCGAAGAACCTCCCGTCGTGATATTTTGCCACGCCTCGAGCGGGCCTGGGCCCAGCTCCCCCTCACAAATACGAGGAACAAAAAATAACAACACAAGTATAACACTTGCGTTATGTCGGGCGTGTCCCCCCTACAGGGGGATTTTCGACGAAAAATTGAAAACAACAATACCCCCAAAAGGTCAAAAAAAATTCCCCCAAAAATCCCCAGACTATTTTTGGATTTTCTTAAATATGTTTTGTGTATGTTTTATTTTTCGTGGGTTATTTTGTGGGGTATTTCCTAGTTTTCCTCGAAAATCCCCCTGTAGGGGGACAGGCCCGACTTACCACTTGTGGCGCTCCGCGGAGCGCGCCAGGGGCGGCGCCGGAGGCGCCGCAAGGGGGGGCCCAGCGCAGATCCAAGAAACCCGCGCGGAGCGCCAAAAGTTTGCGTTTACCGTGGGGGCCAGTCCCCAAGAAGCCTCCCACAAGAAGCCCCACCCCGAGACCCTAGGCCGTCCCTGGATTTCTGTGGGGTGGGAACGTCACGCCTCACATTGCAAAAAACCGTCGAGACTCAAGAGACCAATGGCAGCCTGGAGGCAAGCAGGACGTTTCTTTGGAGGAAGAAGCAGCGGCGTACATATAATTTTTCGGAGGTCCGCGCGGATTTCGTGGATCTGCGCGGAGCGCGCCAGGGGGCGGCGCTGGAGGCGCCGCCAGGGGCCCAGGCGCCGATCCAAGAAATCCGCGCGGAGCACCAACAGTTTATCTTTTATGGCGCTGTTCCTCTCCGATGCCTGGCATGGGCCCCCACTGTGTGGCGTTTGTTCCTTCTCCGAACGACGCAGCGCCCCGCTGTCCAGCCGCACGGCGCCCTCCTCCGGGTCGGCCAGGCGCGCGCAGAGGCGCAGCAGCGTGGACTTGCCCGCGCCGCTGGCGCCCACGAGGGCCACGACCTCGGCGGGCGCTGCGGCGGCGGCTGCGGCGGCGGCTGCGGCGGCGGCGGCGCCTCCGCACCCCGAAAGCAAAAAGTGCTCGACCCCCCCCCCCCCAAAAAAAAGATGCTGGTCCTCAGCTTCCCCCTCCCTCGCTCCCTGCTCCCGCCCTCCTGCTCTTCCTGCTGCAGCTCTTCCTCCTCCCGCCGCTTCCTCCCATCTCGCCCGCCCGCCTGTTCTTTTTACTGCCTCTCCTCTTCCTCCTCCCTCTCCTCCTCCTTCTCCCGCCCCCTGCTCTGTCCGAATCCTTCCCCTCCTGCTCCCGCCCCCTGCATTGTCCGGTTCCTTCCCCTCCTCCTTTCCTTCCGCCCCTTCCTTCTTCTCCTACTCCTCCTTCTCCTCCACATGTCATTGTTATTACTATTCGTCCTCATGTTCGTTCCTCCTCCTCAGCTTCCTGCTATTCCATATCATGAATATCCGCTTCCTTACTTCCCTCCTCCTTCTTCTTATCATTCCTCTTGCCGCCTCCAGCCTGGAAGTGCAAGCAGAGATGGGCCCTCCTCACCGCAAGCACTTGTTGCCAGCACTGCAGGCACGCGTGCTTCACACGATTCGGACAAGTCTCGCAGCGTCTGACGAACATACTGACGGTCCTGAGGATCTCGATCAATTGGGGGAGGGCGCAGCGGATGTAGCATGACGCCTTATCACAGAAGGCGGTTTAACAGCAGCCGGACCCTTGCTTGTCGGATCTCTTGGCGTCTGGAAAAATCAAAAACACACAAGACTGGAGATCTGGCTCATGGCCATCATCATCAGCATCATCACCATAATAGTCACAGTCATAATCGTCATCATCACCATCATCATCGTCATCATCATCAGCATAATCAGCATCACCATCATCATCATCGTCAGCATCATGAGCATCATCAGAATCATCGGAATCATCATCACCATCAACACCGCCATCTTTATCATCATCACCATGCGTAAACTCATCATCGTTATCGTCGTCATCATCCTCAGCACAATCATCATCATCATCATCATCAGCATCATCATCAGCATCATCATCAATAGTATCATCATCATCAGCAGCAGCATCAGCATCGTCGTCACCGGCAGCAACACAACCATCACCACCATTATCATCACAAACATCATCATCATCATCATCATCATCATCATCATCATCATCACAATCACCATCTCTATCACCATAACTATCGTCATCATCATCACCATCATCATCATCCTTATCAGTACCATCCTCATGATCGACATCATCAACATCACCATCATCATTATCATCATCATCCTCATCATCCTCATCATCATCCTCATCATCATCATCATCCTCATCCTCATCACCATCATCATCATCCTCCTCATCATCATCCTCATCATCATCGTCACCATCAACGTCCCCGTGGAGGTGCACTGATGGACAGAAAATCCTAGGCACAAAGACGTTCCCGGGGTCCAGCTTCTCAGCACGAGCCGTTCTCAGACGGCCGGGGCCCCCAGAGCTCGAGCAAGGAGGAGATCCTCCCAGAACCCTTTCCTCAAGGACTTCCCTTTCCTCAAGGACTCCACAAGCACAATGAGGAAATCCTCAAGGACTCCACCTCCCTTTCCTCAAGGACTTCCCTTTCCTCAAGGACTTCCCTTTCCTCTTCAAGCACAATGAAGAAATCCTCCCAGAACAATGAGAAGATCCTCCCAGAACCCTTTCCTCGAGGACTCCTTCGCTTCATGTTCAAGAGGGTCGGGGGCCATGGCAGTTCAAAGCCCAGACATCCGACGATGTTGTTGTTCCGATCCGTGGCCCAAATTTCACGACCTCTTCCCAGGGAGCAATGTCGTGTCCCGGGTTCTTTTTTAATGGCCGCGGGACCCGACAGCGCCCCCCAGAGGCCGGAAAAGGGGATGGAAAACATACATCCTTCAAAGGTGTGTGATCCGCGATCCTCGAACCTCGACCCTGCCCGCGAAGGAGACGCTCAACAGTGGGCAAGGTGGGGCATGCTCGGGGCTGGAGGGGGACGAAGAGGATGGAGAGGTACGCGAATACTTGAAGCGATGGATTTGGGGCGCCTTGCTACCCCCCAGTGCGAGGGCCCAGCCTCCTGGTGCCACCACCCTGGAACGGCACAGTGGCCGCAGCCGTCCGATCGTGGATGACACTCCAGGTCACGGCAGTCATTAGGCAGGAGGAAGGATGAGACGCAACAGAAGTACCCCTAATCCTTTGGGGGGGACCGAAGTTAGGAGGGCCACAACAATTAGGGATAAAGGGGGTCTTTCGTGCAAATGTATCAGACCAAACGGCCCACGTGTATCATCCCCAGTGCGAAGACGGGGACCTCAAGTGAGGTCACGTCTTCATGGTGTTATTCGGGCTGGGCCTCCTTTCGTTCCCGGTCAAGGGCGAGGACGAGGGGGGGAGGGAGGGGAGGCGGAGGAGGTCCCGAGCAGAATCCAGGGTGCGCCCCTTGTGAGATCCGAAGCTGCGGGAAGCGCCCTCCCTCGATGACGAACGCCCAGGTGGGCCCGCCACTCGAGCGAAGCCTCTCACCGCCCATCCAACCCCAGCTTCTCTAGGAATGAAGAGGCATGATAGGATAATGAACACCCTCCATCCTTCCAACCCCAAGTGTTCTACCAAGGAAGCGAGGTGATGAAAGTCGGCAGGACTTCCAGCGACAGCGCCGAATGCCGAAGAGGATCTGGCCTCCACCCGTACTCCAGATTTCGTAATAAAGGGATGGGGGGTCTCACTTCGGGGGGGGGTCTCTTCCAGGCTATCTTGGAGGGCCTGGGGGGGGTCTGGGGACGATGTTTTGGAGGATTTTCCCACGGGGGGAGGTCTGAAATGGCTTGTCAAGGAGGGTCCAGACCCCCTCCCTTTTATTACGAAATCTGGAGTACACATGTCGCACAGCTTCGAACGAAAAAAATTAGCCTGGCGAAGAACCCAACCATATGCAGTTGTCAGTACCGCAGCTGCGGGTTTCATCTTCAATGGAACTCCCCATAGGACTACGGAACGTGTGAGGGGTGTGCCGAGATGGGTGCCACTGGGGCATTCGGCGAAGCTCCCTATGGGGACATGAAACACGCGCGGGGCGTGCCGACATGGGTGGCGGAAACGCATGTGCGGGCCGCCACTGGGGCCTCCAGTGGAGCTCCCTATGGGTCCCCGAAACATGATGCTGCTGCGGGGGGGGGGGGCGGGATGGGTGGCGGAGACGCATGTAAGCGCCGCTACTGGGGCCTTCGGTGGAGCTCCCTATGGGGCCACGAAGCGCGTGAGGGGTGTACTGGGATGTGTGGCGGGGGCGCATGTGAGCGCCGCCACTGGGGCCTTCGGTGCAGCTCTCTATGGGGCCACGAAACGTGTGAGGGGTGTGCCGAATTGGGTGCGGGTGGTGACGCATGCAGGCGGTGCCACTGGGGCCTTCGGTGGAGCTCCCTATGGGGCCACGAAACCTGTTGTTGTGAGTGGCGTGCCGGGATGGGTGGCGGGCACGCATGCGAACGCGGCCGCTGGAGCCTTCGGTGGAGCTCCCTATGGGGCCACGAAACGTGTGAGGGGTGTGCCGAATTGGGTGGGTGTGGGTGACGCATGTGGGCGCCGCCACTGGGGCCTCCGGTGGATGGGGCCACGAAACCTGTCAGGGATGTGCCCAAATGGGTGTGCGGGACGCATGCGCATGTGAGCGCCGCCACTGGGGCCTTCGGTGGAGCTCCCTATGGGGCCACGAAACGTGTGAGGGGTGTGCCGAATTGGGTGTGCGGGACGCATGCGGGCGGCAGCACTGGGGCCTTCGGTGGAGCTCCCTATGGGGCCACGAAACGCGTGAGGGGTGTGCCGAATTGGGTGTGCGGGACGCATGCGGGCGGCAGCACTGGTGCCTTCGGCGGAGCTCCCTATGGGGCCACGAAACGTGTGAGGGGTGTGCCGAATTGGGCGTGCGGGACGCATGCGGGCGGCAGCACTGGGGCCTTCGGTGGGGCTCCCTATGGGGCCACGAAACGTGTGAGGGGTGTGCCGAATTGGGTGTGCGGGACGCATGCGGGCGGCAGCACTGGGGCCTTCGGTGGGGCTCCCTATGGGGCCACGAAACGTGTGAGGGGTGTGCCGAATTGGGTGTGCGGGGCGCATGCGGGCGGCAGCACTGGGGCCTTCGGTGGGGCTCCCTATGGGGCCACGAAACGTGTGAGGGGTGTGCCGAATTGGGTGTGCGGGACGCATGCGGGCGGCAGCACTGGGGCCTTCGGTGGGGCTCCCTATGGGGCCACGAAACGTGTGAGGGGTGTGCCGAATTGGGTGTGCGGGACGCATGCGGGCGGCAGCACTGGGGCCTTCGGTGGGGCTCCCTATGGGGCCACGAAACGTGTGAGGGGTGTGCCGAATTGGGTGTGCGGGACGCATGCGGGCGGCAGCACTGGGGCCTTCGGTGGGGTCTCCCTATGGGGCAGCACGAAACGTGTGAGGGGTGTGCCGAAGTGGGTGTGCGGGACGCATGCGGGCGGCAGCACTGGGGCCTTCGGTGGGGCTCCCTATGGGGCCACGAACGTGTGAGGGGTGTTTCGGCCTTCGGTGGGCTCCCTATGGGGCCACGAAACGTGTGAGGGGTGTGTGCGGGACGCATGCGGGCGGCAGCACTGGGGCCTTCGGTGGGGCTCCCTATGGGGCCACGAAACGTGTGAGGGGTGTGCCGAATTGGGTGTGCGGGACGCATGCGGGCGGCAGCACTGGGGCCTTCGGTGGGGCTCCCTATGGGGCCACGAAACGTGTGAGGGGTGTGCCGAATTGGGTGTGCGGGACGCATGCGGGCGGCAGCACTGGGGCCTTCGGTGGGGCTCCCTATGGGGCCACGAAACGTGTGAGGGGTGTGCCGACTTGGGTGTGCGGGACGCATGCGGGCGGCAGCACTGGGGCCTTCGGCGGAGCTCCTTATGGGGCTACGAAACGCTGTACTGGGCGGGTGAAACGCAAGGAAGAGGGGGAGGAGGGAGGAGGCGGAGGAGGAGGAAGGAGGAATGAAGGAGACGCGGGGCACCGTCTCTTCAAAACGAGGGCCCAACACCACAGGATGGTTGGGAAAAAAAAACACGGGCTTCAACTCTGCGGACGACATCCATCGACGACCCGTTCTGCAGACGTGCCGCCCTCCGTCCACGCAGCTGTACGGTGTGCGGCGTCGGGTTGCACAACAGAGGGACGTCTCAAGCGAGAGCCACAGTGCGACGACAAGCCAGCCTCCGTTCTCGTGGTGGCTCGGCATTTGAACAGTGCGCTGGACGCTAAGCTAGTGCGAGAGTTGCATCTTGAAAAGAATCAGCCTCCGCCCTTGTAACGATGGGACGGCTTGACAATGAGTGTGCGCGGCGCTAAAGCGAAAACCGCATCTGGAAACTCAGCGGCCCTCCGTCCTTGTGGCCGTCGGAGCAGTGATCACGAATGTTCGCGACGCTGCGGCGGAGAAGCCGCATTGTGACAATCGCTGGCCCTCGGGCCCTCCATCCCCGTAACTGCCAGGACTTGTCAAAAAGCACGTGCGTGGCGGTGAAGCGACAGTCGCATGTTGAGAATGGCCATCCCTTCAAAAGTGTGAGTGCTGTTCATCATCGAGAACCCATTGTGACTGGCCTCATGCGAAACGCACGCTTGTCTTGCGACGAGGGAAGTGTCTTATCAGGCAGAGGAAGGGAGGACGACGCGGAGTAGGATGAAGAGGACAAGAGAGAGAAGGCAAGGGAGATCGGGGAGCGGGAAGCTTGCCGCGAAACTGACAGGTCCCGAGAAAAACAAGCCACTGGACAGCAGGGCTCCCCTCTGGACCAGTCTTGTCGCCCCCTCGGCAAACCTCTGCGGCCCTCTCCATTCAGGAGAAGGAAAAAAACAGAAGCATGGCGGATGAACAAGAGAACGGGAGAAGGAAAAGCAGGATGAGGAGGACCATGGCTGTCCACGGCGCAAACAAGTGCTGAGCATTTTCTTAGGGTGGAGGGCTCAGGGTGAAATCCATATGGGCGTTTGCATCTCAAAGATCAATTCGTTTTGTGTGTTCGCCTTTTTTGCAGATGCAGGCCTCGAGAATCAATCGAAACGACATTTCAGACTTCACCCTTTCCCCTCCACCCAAAGAAAATGGTCGGAAATGACGCTCCAGATCTGTATGAACTGCTTGAGACCTCGACCGGAATCTGCATGTTTGAGGTGCTGGTGCTACGCTTTTTGCCCTGCTAGGGGATCCGGGAAGGAGGAGGCAATGCCAAAGGGGTCGCCCTCAAGGGGCTCGCCACCTCCCCCATAAAACGGACCCCCCATGGATCCCTCAGAGCATCCGAAGAAGCGCCCTTGGGCGTCTACGGCATCATTCCCCTCTTCCTCCTCCTCCTCCTCCTCCTCCTCCATCCTCCCCCCTCCTCGACCCTCGATCTTGCAAAAAGAATTGGCGACCTTCCTGCTGGCGATCCCCCTTGGCGCTGTCCGGGTTGAGGCAGTGGAGCGTGGCCGAAGGGCGAGAACGATGACTGGTTATACCCCATGAGGGAGGACAGAGCTGAGGAATGATGGGAGGAACTTTATGGAGGGACCGGTGCATGGGGGGGAACATCGCCCTGGAATTAAGTCGGTCGTGTCCCCCTACAAAGGGATTTTGGGCGAAAAATTAAAAATATCCCCAAAATTCCCCAAAATGGTCAAAACATACTCAAAAAATAGTCCCCCGACTATTTTTGGATAATTGTTCTACTATTTTTGGGGTATCTTGTATTTTTCTTCGAAAATCCCCCTGTATACGGGGGACAGGCCCGACTTAATCCTACTTGGACTTGGGCCCATCCCCCCGTAACGTTGCCCCTTGATTTTCAAGTCATCGCTCGGCTCTCCGGTGGGCGTCCGCGACGCTCCAAAGTTCCCCAGAACACTTTCGGGCAGGCGCATCTGCTGGACGGCATCCTGAGGCTGAGAGACCGCCAAATACCGACGAAAACACATGAGAACCTTCAGATCCGAGCCTCGAGCATCGAGCCCCTGAGCCGGACTTCCCCCCCTGAGCCCATCCCCCTCCCACGTTGCCTTGCAACTTCGTCATGTGGAATCCTCCGTTTCGGATTCTGGCAAGTTGCCGCGCATGCGAAGGGGGGGTTCGTGGCGAGGCCCGACAGGAAATCTGAACTTCACGCGTGCTGGGACTCACGCGCACGCCTTTACAGCCCAGCGCTGTTCGAGAAGGCTACGGATGGGGCAGGGGAGATGCCATGCAGGCAGACTTGCCTGAATCTTCAGGCGCAAATGCTGAACTTCGCTGTTGCCGAGTAAAGGATGGACAACACAATTGATTTGCCCCAAACGGAGGTCCCGCCGAATCTGCGAAATATGCGCAGCACGTTGAGTGAGCCTTCGGGGCACATCGATTCTGCAATCGCTCCCCGAGTCGCTCTTCGGGAGGGCACGGCGCTGCCCGACGGCAACAGGACGACCCCTCGGCCACCCCCCTTCCGCAAGGAGGCCCCAGCAGCTGCGCGCGCCTCGCCAGGGCGCAGGCGCAGGTTCGCGTCGCGCACCGCCCAGCGCTCCTCGGCGAGGGCCGGCCCGCCCCCAAACTCGCTTCGGTCGGCGGCCGGCGGGGCTCCAGACGGCGGTAGATCGGAAGCCGGGCAAGGGCTGCTAAGTAAATCCGCGGCTGCTAAAAGCGACCTCCGGGAAGTTGCCTTCGTCCTTCCGGGAAGACGCCCGTTGACTGCTTCGCGTGCCGCGCCTCGTTCCCGGAAGCTGTTTCTTCCTTCCGGGAGGAGGGCCGTTTTCGCAGCCACGGTTTTAGCAGCCCTCGCCCAGCAGCTTCCCAGTAGAGCGCGGCGGCGGGACGCGCGGGGTCACGGCAATGCACATGGGGGAGCGCGGGGAGGGAGAGCCGGAGGGGGCGCCGGGGGGGAGGGAGGCACACTCAGGCCGCCAGAGCGGCTGCGCGCGCGCCGAAGAGCAAGTCCGAGCGGTGCGTGGCGGAGCCCGCCCCAAAGCACGTCGCACACGCACACTCTGCGGGCCTGGTGCTGCGCTCTCTTTCAAGAAAGAACCCCACCCATCCTGTGGTGTTCGGTCCTCGTCTTGAGGAGGCGGTGCCCCGCGCTCCTCTCCTCTGCCCCTCCTCTCCTCCTCCCTCCCCCTCCTCCCTGCTCCCTGCGTTTCACCCACCCAGTACAGCGTTTCGTGGCCCCACAGGGAGCTCCACCGAAGGCCCCAGTGGCCGGGTTCGCGTGGCGGCCGCGCCCCATTGTGGCGCACCCCTCGCACGGCTCGTGGCCCGATAGGGAGCTCCACCGAAGGCCCCAGTGGCAGGGCTCGCATGGCGGCCCCGCATTGTGGCGCACCCCTCACACGGTTCGTGGCCCCAGCCTCAGTGGCACGGTTCGTGGCCCTGTAGGGAACTCCACCGAAGGCCCCAGTTTGGCAGGGTCCGCATGGCGGCCCCGCCCCATTGCGGCGCACCCCTTACACGATTGAGCTCCACCAAAGGCCCCAATGGCAGGGTTCGCATGTCGGCACAGCCCCATTGTGGCGCACCCCTCACCATGGCCCCATAGGCAGCTCCACCGAAGCCCCCAGTTGCAGGGTTCGCATGGCGGCCCCGCCCAATTTTGGCGCACCCCTCACACGGTTCGTGGCCCCATAGGGGGCTCCACCAAAGGCCCCAGTGGCAGGGTTCGCATGGCGGCCCCGCCCCATTTTTGCGCACCCCTCACAAGGTTCGTGGGGATGTCCCTTACGTCGTCCCACCTGCCCTGCGGTTCTCACACTTCCGTATGGTTGGGTCTGTCGCCATGATAATTTTTGTTTCCACGCCAGGCGGTGTTTTGTGCCCAGCTTCGCACACCAGGACCCTCACATATCGACTCGGCTCGAAAAAGGGCGCAGAAAGACAGGGTCTATCGCTCGGGTCGTGATTGGTCGCGATGCTGCATTTGCTTTGCAATGTCAGATCTCAACGAGCAAGGGCCTCGCCCTCCAGGACTGGAATAGCTGGCACCTATTCCTCGGCGGAAGGCGGCGGAAGGCCGGCGGAAGAGCGCTCTAAGTAAAACGAGGCCGGCTCTGCCGGCGGAAGTCAACCTCGCCGCTGGGATTCAGGGTTTTCGGAACTAGCCATATGTACCCAGATCTCCGAAAATATCCCTTCATTTTTCGTCAACCTTCGTTTTTCCTTGACGTCAGCCGTCAATGTCCGTGTTCGGGCCCAGGGACTGTCAAAAGCGGATCGGAGACGAAGACACTAACCCACGGGGAAGCGATCAAGACCTCTTTGGCCGCATATTGAAAATTATCCTGGCGAAGGACCCAACCATACGCAAGTGTGAGAACCGCAAGGCAAGTGAGACGGAACAAGGGAAATTCTCAATGGGGCCACGAACCGTGTGAGGGGTGCGCAAAAATGGGACGGGGCCGCCATGCGAACCCTGCCACTGGGGCCTTCGGTGGAGGCCCCTTATGGGGCCACGAACTGTGTGAGGGGTGCGCCAAAATGGGACGGGGCCGCCATGCGAACCCTGCCACTGGGGCCCTCGGTGGAGCGCCCTGTGGGGCCACGAACCGTGTAAGGCGTGCGCCACAATGGGGCGGGGCCGCCATACGAACCCTGCAACTGGGGCCCTCGGTGGAGCTCCCTGTGGGGCCACGAACCGTGTGAGGGGTGCGCCACAATAGGGCGGGGCCGCCATGCGAACCCTGCCACTGGGGCCCTCGGTGGAGCTCCCTGTGGGGCCCCGAACCGTGTAAGGGGTGCGCCAAAATGAGGCGGGGCCGCCATGCGAACCCTGCCACTGGGGCTCTCGGTGGAGCTTCCTATGGGGCCACGAACCGTGTGAGGGGTGCGCAAAAATGAGGCGGGGCCGCCATGCGAACCTTGCCACTGGGGCCTTCGGTTGAGTTCCTAGGTGAGGGTTGCACCAAAATGGGGCGGGGCCGAACCGTGTGAGGTGTGCGCCAAAATGGGCCGCGGGGCCGCCATGCGAACCCTGCCACTGGGGCCTTCGGTGGAGCTCCGTATGGGGCCACGAACTGAGAGGTGCGCCAAAATGGGCCGCGGGGCCGCCATGCGAACCCTGCCACTGGGGCCTTCGGTGGAACTTCCTATGGGACCACGAACCGTGTAAGGGATGCGCCAAAATGCGGGGCCGCCATGCGAACCCTCACTGGGGCCTTCGGTGGAGGTTCCTATGGGGGCCACGAAACGTGTAAGGCGTGCGCCAAAATGGGGCGGGGCCGCCATGCGAACCCTGCCACTGGGGCCTTGGAGCTCCCTATGAGGCCACGAACCATGTGAGGGGTGCACCCAAATGAGGCGGGCCGCCATGCGAACCCTGCCACTGAGGCCGTCGGTGGAGCTCCCTACGGGGCCAAAGAACGCTGTACTGGGTGGGTGAAACGCAGGGAGGAGGGAGGAGGGGGAGGAGGGGGAAGGAGGAGGAGGAGTAGGGGAGAAGAACGCGGGGCACCGTCTCTTCAAAACGAGGTCCCAACACCACAGGATGTTTGGAAGCAAACAGCCGGTCGGCTGATGCTAGACTCCACACATGTGTATGCATACATGCATGTGTATATATATACACACAAGTATGCATATATATATATATATATGCGTGTGTATGCGTATGTATAAATGTTTATGTATATGTATGCGTAAAGGTATCCATGCGATACAAATTAATTCAAACGCTCGTCCCCTCACCATCTCGCACGCCTCCCCTCAACCCCCCATCATGCTTCTCCTCCACGTCCTCAGCGTCCACGCTCGGTTGCTGAGCCTTCTCCTCTCCATCATTATCATCGTCATCATCATCATCATCATCAGCAGCAGCAGCATCATCATCAGCAGCATCAGCATCAGCATCATCATCAACGACAGCATCAGCATCAGCATCAGCATCATCATGATCACCTTCATCATCATCATCATCAGCAGCAGCATCATCATCATCATCGTCATCATCAGCATCATCATCAGCATCATCAACAACATTATCTTCCTCCTCCTCCTCCTCATCCGCCCCACCCACTTTCCTGCTGGCGCCTGGCACCTAATGACGTCCGAATTTGCCCCATCTTCAAATATGTTGGCCCCTAACGGCATCCGCTGGCGCCCAACTGCCCTTGCCACACCCACAATTCTGCTCCCTCTCCTCCTCCCTCCACCGCCTCATCCCCTCTGCCCCCCCCCTCTTCCTCGCAATTGTGTCCTCCATCTCTGTTATCGTACGCCTCTTCAGTATGCTCATGTTTATCCGCCTTCCCCTTCTCGTCGTCATTGCCGCCGGTACACATCCCGAGATTTCTCCCGCTGTCTGCGGCGTGTACGCTCAGGCGTACTCGTGCTTCTTGTGCGAATCATTCCCGCCCTTATTTCTCAAGCGCCACGGGCTTTAAACCTGAGAGGCCCAAGGGCTTCTGGGCCTCATACTAGTTGACTGGGTGTTCCCTAACAGGCTGTTGGTTGTCTTCATCAACGCTCATTCGTGGCGTCGTGGAGGACGGGATCGTAAGACGTCACTCTACCTTCACGGCGTGCACATACAAGATCAACCCTGCTATCGTGCCATTGGTGTCATGTGCGCTGCTCGGCCATAACTTGGCAATCGTGATGGACCACGCCGACCACCAATACACACGTAAACCCACATCAACGAATACACCATGTTCAAGCCCAACGTCATCCCATCTCCCTCTGTAAGCACCCGTGGCCGCTCCCCGTAGCATCCCCCGTCAAGGGGGACATGTAAGAAAGGAGGAGAAGAGGGGAGAGGAGACGGGGAAGGAGACAAACTATGTGCGCTCGCGCCGTATCCGACACCCTACCCTTGTCACCTACCCATTCCCATTGCGCCGAATTGGGAATTTATCCGCCGCCGACTGGTGTCCTAGCGGACCTGGAACCCAAACTGACCTCTTCGTGTTATGCGCAGTCAGGAAAAGGAGCTGTGTCCAGTCGGGGAGCAGGAGGACAACACAGCTGAGGACGCGGATGGGGATGAGGTGCAAGAGGATGAGAAGGAGGAACGAGGATACTGAGGTGGAACAGTAGCAGCGGCGAAGGCATTTGTGAAAGGCTTGTGGTTTTCAAAATGTGGCTGTGGCCGTAGCGCCGCGCAAAATCCTCCTAGCAGTTCGGAACAGTTTCAGGGATGTAGGGCCGCTCTTTTTCAAAATGTGGCTATCGCAACGTTCCATAAGACTGAAGGCGGCAATGCTTCAAAACTGGGCTCTCGTTTGGGACTCCGCTCAGCTATCAAGCCCAGCATGCTTCCACACATCTAGCACCAGGTCGGACATGCCTTATAAGGCAAACATCGTCCCCCGACTGTTTTTTGACCAGTTTGAAGCTTCCTCCTGTGGAGGGACACGCCCGACGTGAATCTGGCTCTGGTCGGATCCAGGGCGGCTCGCTCGTTTTCCGCACGGAGCTGTCGCCAGAGACTCCCTCGAAGCTCACGGCCACATGCGTCCAGTCGTGAGTGGTACCGCCTGATTCCGAGGCTTTGCCTCCTCCTGGCCTCGTTCTGAGGCTGCGCCACCCTTTTCCTCCCCTATCTCTGGTTAATTCAAGCTTCGCGCGGCCCGCTTAGCTTCCACCGGAAGAGGTGCGCTCCCGACCCGCGAATCAAAAAATGTGTCAAGTCGTGAGAGAATGAATGACAGGCGCGGGCACGGAGAGGGACGAGAGCTGGGGGAGGACGCCACACCCGGACCTCGACACCTGAGTTCCTGCCGACGTCTGAAGCAGGGCAGATAGGCCTGTCGGTCTGGAGGATCATGCGTCAGCACTCTGGAAGGTCAGGGTCCTCCTCCTCGTCCTCCTGCCCCTCCCTGCCATGAGGCAAACAAGTCCTTGGCGGAAACGGGCCATAGACTTATGTCGGGCGTGTCCCCCTACAGGGGGATTTTCGACGACAAATAAAAATATCCCAAACATACCCTAGGAAGGTCAAATTTACTCAACAAAAAATCCCCACACTATTTTTTTGTTATTTTTTGACTATGTTTGGGGTATCTTTTATTTTTCGTCGCAAATCCCCATGTAGAGGGGGACAGGCCCGACTTAACCATAGACTTATGTTGTTCCCGTCCTACTTACGGACCGCATCCCAGAAATAATTTCGAGCTCCCAGAAAAGTGTCAAAAGATGCCGCAAGAGTGTCGAAACAGTCTCTCTCCCTGGGCCCGGCACGTGAAAACCCTGGAGTGTCGGTATTTTTGTTGGGGCGCTGGAGATTCTTCCTGATGATCAAGGCTAAAGTAGGTTGGAGCTTTGTGGGCCCCGGAAACGGCAGGGCGGTTTTTTCACCGTTTCCCAAAAAATGTCCCTTGAACATGGAAACGGTTAAAAAACGGCGACCAGAAAAGGCAAAAAAACGGCTCCAGGATTGGAACCGGAGCCGGAACCAGTCAAACAACGGCGACGGAACGAGTAAAAAAACGGCGTCGGCACCGGCAAAAAAACGGCAAAACGGAACGCGTAAAAAAAACGGCCCTGGCGTTTCCAGGGCCCACGAAGGGTTGGAGCATCATAACCATAGGCCCTGGCCCCTCCCGGGGACCAGCTCCTCGGCCCGAGGTCGGCACCCGGGCGGCCCCCGGCGGGGGGCCCTAGAGACGACGGGCAGCCCCCCGGGCGCGCTGCCGCGGCGGGCCCCCGGAAGACCGGACGGGAAAGCGACCACGGCCGCTGCTCTTCTTCTGTTGCCGCCATGCAGCCTCGAGTCGCGCCTGTCCCCCATACAGGGGGATTTTCGGCGAAACATAAAAGATACCCCAAAAAGAAGCAAAAACAAAAAACACAAGAATACATAATCTGGGGACCATATGTTTTGACTATTTTTTGACATTCCCAGGGTATTTTTGGGGTATCTTTAAATTTTCGTCGAAAATCCCCCTGTAGGGGGACACGCCCGACATAATTCCAGCCGGCAGAAACAAAGCTGTGGGTGTGGTCATTTTCGTGAAGCTTGGCACCAGGTATAAATGACCACATCACTGCTTCTCTTTCGGCCGGCTGGAAGGCGGCGCAAACAAGAAGCAGTGGCTGTGGTCATTTTCCCGTCCCGCAAGGAAGAGTGGTCGCCCACCATGGCCCGACGCACGTGCGCGGACGAATGGTGGGCGCCAGGGATGTGCAGTCAAAACGTGTGTCAAGGACGGGTGGTGAGCACGCAAGACCCTTGGAGGCCGACGTTGGGATGCTCGTTGGCCGAGGGGCGGCCAGTGAGAGTGGCCAATGACGAGCCGCAGAGGCAAGGACACAGGGATGCCCAGGCGCGCGTCTCTGCCAGTCACGTGGACTGTCTGACAAGACGGACGGCAAGGGGCCACGACACCCACACCCAGGACATCCCATTGCCAGGGGCCACGGCGACCTGCTCCCCCCCCCCCCAGTCCACAATTACTCAATATGAATACTACTCTCCCTCTTCCCCTGATGACGTGCTGGGAGTGTTCGCCCCCCCCTCCCCCGCGTCCTGCTTTTTTACACACAGAATTCCCGGGAGTTGGGTTTTCGCCTGCATTTGTTTCCAAATTGCTGCTCTCGCTGAGGCGCCGGCCTCATTTTCGGGCCTCCGCTCGTTCCGAATCGTGCTCCCGCTGCAGCGCTGGCATCATTTCCGCGCTTCCGCTCGTTTCGACTCGTGCTCCCGCTGCAGCGCTGGCGTCATTTCCCGTGCCATGCCACGGCATGCAATGCCATGCTAGGTTGATACTACGCTTCGCGGTGCTCTTCTACGCCATGCCATGCCGTGCTCTACAATGCATCGCGTACCCTTTCGGGATCATCGCCCTGGTTGACATCCGACTGTGCAAGTAGAGAGGGGATCTGCGCCATGGTAAGGGATGGGAGGGAGGGGTAGGATGTCAGATATGACGCGAGCGCACCTAGCTTGTCCCCTCCCCTCCCTCGCCGCCCCCGAAGCCGCGGGGCCCCTTCCCTCCCGGGCCCTTGCCTTCGTGCTGGCCCTCTGCCTCCCTCCCAGACAGCCGACGTCGCGACCGCTTCACGGCGTCGACCCCCGGAGGCTGAGGCCACCTGCATGGGAGCGGCTACTCATCCCGAGTCGTGTTCTGACTGTCCTGGGGCCTGGCGTTAAGTCGGGCCTGTCCCGCTACAGGGGGATTCTCGACGAAAAATAAAAAATACAACAAAAAAAAATCAACAAATAATCAACATATAGTATGGGGACTAATTTTTAGAATTTTTGGTGTATTGTTGGGGTATGTTTAATTTTTCGTCGTCGAAAATCCCCCTGTAGGGGAACACGCCCGACATAAGCCTGGCGAGGGCCTCTGGAGGCCGAGAGTGGCAGAAAACCTACCGTCGGGCCTGGCGAAGGCCCCCAGGAGCCCAAAATGGCCGAACACATCCCACCGTGATTTTTGTTACGACTCGAGGATGTCAGGGAAGCCGCAGCCCCCCTGAGATCCGACCTTGCGAACAAAGGCAACATTGCGAAACACCACCACCAGAGCCCTATTCCGAATCATTCTGCGGCATTTTCCGCCTGGTCCCTGGGCCCGAAAGCGGGCGAAGACGCCCTGAGTGAAGCAATTGCAGCGCCCGGGTCTCGGGGGAGGCCGAAACTGACCGATCGCCTCCCGTGTCGTGATTTTTCACGACGCGAGGATGTCAGGGCCTCCCAGGTGAGGTCAGAGCAGCTAGATCGACGGATCGCGCCGCATCGTTCATGCATCACCGATGCCTCGGCGAATTATTTGGTCGACGTCGGCGATGCATCGGCGACGTCGATGCATCGCCGATACATCGGCGATGCCGAACGACTCTTCGACCCCATCCACTCGGGCCCAAATTGGGGTCGTGCATGTCCTCCTGCAGGCGGATACTGGAGAGAAATAGAGCGAAATCAAACAAAGCCCAGAAATGATCAAGAATAGTCGAAACATCGTCCCTGGACTATTTTCTGACTATTTTGAACATTCCCCCTGTAGAGGGTCATGCCCGACCTAAACACAATTTGGGGGGCCTAAAATACCACGGCCTCCACTCGCGCCGACGCGGGCGAGGACCGACGAGGAACGCCATCCCTTGAGCAGGTCGGACCGACCGTCCCGGCATTCCTGTAGGCCTACCACGACATGTCTTGGAGCCCCCAAATATTCCAAGAACCAAACAATGTTCTTAGAACATAAGCCCGATGTCTTAAGACACGACGGACTCAGCCAGAACTGTTCTAAGAAAATTTCGCGCAAACCGCAAAACCTCTTAGAACGTTCTTTGGTGGGCCTATATGATGAACTAACAACACACACCCATACCCATAGGGGGGTCGGTAAGGGCTATGGGTACGTGTTGTCGGATGGGGATCCCCGCTCGAACGGGAGCGTTCCCTAGGGTCCGACAACCCGCACCCATACCCATAGCCAGTCCTCCTCGCAACGACCCCCTTATGGGTATGGGTGTGTGTTGTTCGTTCGTCACTATAGACAAGCCGGGGCGCTTCGCCACTGCTTGAGTGCCCCGCGCGCGGCTTCCGTCCTGCCCCGCGTAGCGGAAGGACACGCCCTCGAGCTCCAGCACGCCCCGCACGGCCCGCGGGTCCAGCCGCGCGGCGCCGGGGGCGCTGGTGACCTGCAGGGCGGAGGCAGGAAGAGCCCAGACCCCCCGCGTTGCGAACAAATCGCGGCGGGAGGTCCTTCGCTATCCAAGACCGCGCTAACGGCGACGTTGGTTAACGGCGATGTTGGGGATCTGATGTTTGTGACACCGAGCCCGCGCAGAACAGATTGTAGGAAGTCACGAGCCACACTTTCCTTCCTACATTTCAGATGTGCGAATGTATCGAGCGAAAACGACGCAGCGAATTGTAGGAGAGCACGAATCACCATGTCCTACAATTGGTTTGGCCACGAACCAGTCCCACCTACAATGCCGAAACCTACATCGCCGTTACCTACATTGCCGTTAGCGCGTCTACGGGCTATTTTCGGCCCGCGGCGGCTCTCACAGGGCCACGGGACTGCCAACAAAAACGAATTGGGATGCGAAACGGGTCCTCGGGAAGGAATCCAGACCTCGAGGGGTCGACGTTGTTGAGAAAACACAACGTCGGGGGCCTGGGGAAGCAGGAAGGGTCTGGGCGAAGAGGCGACGACTGCTGGGAGGGGTCGTGGGGAGAAAGATGAAATGAGAGGCTCGTTCTGGGGGACCTTCCTGGACACTCGCTCTACTCGTGTGCCGATGATGCGCCGTCAGCTGTAGATTTGAGTCAAACCAGAGAAGGCCTATAACCAGAAACAAGCTACACTTAGGTCGGGCGTGTCCTCCGACAGGCGGATTTCAGAAAAAACAATAAAAGTAATCAAAACATGTTTGAGAAATATGTCAAAGAGGACGTCAAATCGTCGTTCGCCTGACGATTTTTCTAAAATATTTTTCCTGTAGAGGGGCACGCCCGGCTTCAAGGCTAGGCCAGGTCAAGCGCGTTCAGGCCGGATTGAACGGAGCATGCCACATGAAGCAAATGTTCGACGATGGGTACAAGCGCCGCGCGGCGCCGGGGGCGCTGAAGACCTGTAGGACGGAGGCAAGAAAACTCCGGATGAGGATGAGTCGGGAATCTCTGAGAGCCCCCGACATCTTCGCGTCGTTGAAAGAAAAACCACGGCGAATCTCAATCTTCAGCATCTGGGGGCCCGCACAGGGTCACGGGACCGTCAAAAAACGACTCGGGATGGAACGCAAATCCAGACCTCTGGGTTGCCACGTTGCAAAGAAAAAACTACGTGGACTGTTTGGAACGAGGGCGCAACAAAAAACAATTAGGAAACAACTCCTGGGAGGTGTTCGCGAGAACGACTACACGCTACTTACGTAGCCAGACGAAAGGGCCACGGGGCGGGAATGTCCCATTCCTGCCCCGGGTTTAGCTTGATTTCGCGCGATCAAGCCGGATTGAACAAAATCATGCGGCCGTGTCGGGGCGCTCCTGGAAGCTGTCAAAAAACTTCCCAAGACGCTCTGGGTCGTGACTGGTCGTTTGTGCGGCCCGTTGGTCCTTTGTGCGGGCCCGTTGGGTTCTTGTGCGGCCAAATGCGGCCAGATGGGACTTACTGCGGCTCGTGCTGACCTTTTCAGTTAAACATAAGGTGTAACAGGTTCCCATTGTTAGCTCTGGAAATCCTGGCAACCCTTGAAGACTTGCGTTCCTGCCCAGAAGCACCCCCCCAAAAAAAAACATCTGAAAACGTGATGGAAGCAATATAATAAGAAATTGTACCAATATTCCATGTCACATTCAAACAAAAACCCGGCACACCGCGGTTTCAAACGCGTTTGCGTTCAGACAAACAAAGAAAGAAACCAATCCAACATTTCAAAACGAAAGCCTAGAACGATACGGGTGCAAAGCGAAAGCGAAAACGAAACGATGCCGCCATTCGGTACCAAACGAAACACGAAACGAATTGCGCAATCCACATTTAAAGCAAGATGGAAAACGAAACGATGCCAACGAAAAGTGGTTGCGGACGGGGCAACATTTGACTGGGTTTGGTGCCAGGTCGAACGCCGGGGCTCTGGAGTCTAGGACCTGGGAGTCGAGGGCCCAGGAGTCTCGCGCCCTGGACTCCATGGCGCAAGAGTACAAAGACCTAGAGTCAATCTAGAACGTTGGAGTCAAGGGCCCAGGAATGTGGACCCCTGGAATCACAGGCGCGGGGCTCGAGGGCCCCGGGGCCGAGGGCCCAATGATCTGGGGCCGTGGAGTCCAGCGCCCAGGGGTCCATGGGCCCTGGAATCTAGCGCCTGGGAGTCTAGGGCCTTGTAACCTGACGCCTAGGATTCTAAGGTCCTGGAATCTACGGCCCAATGATCGAAAGCTCGGACAAGGGCCCAAGAGTCCAAGGCCCAAGAGTCGATGGCCCCGACGTCCTACGGCCCAGGAATCAAAGCGCTGGAATCGAAGGCCCTGGGGCCTAGGGCCTTCGAGTCCAGGCCCTGGAGTCTCGGGCGTTGGACTCTCGGGCCCAGGGGTCTGGGGGGTTCGAGACCGGGGCCCAGGAGTCTAGGGCCTTGGAATCTAGGGCCCAGAAGTCTAGGGCCCAAGAATCTAGGACCCTCGTGGCGACGGTGACAACGATGACGATTGCGCTGGGGGGAAGGGGGGGCGGGATGAGGGGCGGGGGGAGGAGAAGAAGGAGACGCGGGGCACTGTCTTTTCAAAGAGAGGGCCCAACGCCACATAATGGCTGGGATTGAATGTCTTGTGGGGGCAAACTCCGTTTCTCTGCTCAGGCCCAGAACTCGGATGGTCTGATTCATGTCTGCGCTGGAACTCCGACTCAAGTCTGGCCCTCAGCACCCGAAGCGAATGTCGCGGCGTCGGCCCAGAACGCTGCCGGGTCGGCCCCGTGCGCGTGCGTCTTCGAATACAACAGAAGGAATGCGCAGGCCAAGCGGCAGGTCATGGCTGGGGGCTCAGCCACCAGCTGCCGCACACTGCGAACTGGGCCCGCCTGCGCACGCCGCCCTGCGGCAACGCTCACGCGAAGGCCTGCGCGGGAGGCGCGGGGCGGCGCAGCCCGCCTGCGCGGCCCTACCCGAAACTGCTCGACGGCAGCTGGGGCGAAAAAGGGCTCGCCCGAGGCTCGCCCCTCAAGGCTGCCGGCTGCCGCGCCGCGACAGGGCGCGCATCGCGGTGACCGCCCCAATCCCCGCCGCCCGCCCGGGACAGGTCGGGGGCAGGGCGCGCGGAGGAGAATCGCTGCACTTTTCGGGAGGCTCGGGGGCGCGGGAGGTGCTCTGGGAGGCGCCCAGAACGAAGGCGGGGACAAGAGGCAAGGGTAGGAACGATCGCGAGAACGAAGGCAGAAGCGAGGGCAGGAACCGGGGCGGGAACGGGGGCGGGGGCGATGGGCGAGAACGAAGGCGAGAACGAAAGCAAGAATGAGGGCGGGAACGAGAGCGGGAATGAGGGCGAGAACGAGGGCGGGAACGAAGGCGGGGACGAAGGCGGGAACGAGGGCGAAAACGAGGGAGATAAAGGGGGCGGGAACGAGGAGCGAGGGCGGGAGCGAGGGCGGGAACAAGGACGGGAGCGAGGGCGGGAATGAGGGCGGGGGGCCGCCTCTGGGAGCCTCTGGGGTTTCTCCGGGCGCCTTGGGAATTCCCTGGGCGCCTCTTGGGAACCTGCGGGGAACCCCCGGGGAACCTCCGGGAGGTCTGTTTGAAGTCTGTTTGAAGTATGTGTCAGGTCTGTTTAAGGTATGTTCGAAGTCTGTTTGAGGTCTGTGTTGGGCCAAACTCTGATGAAGGTCTGTTTGTCGCATGTTTACGGTCCGATTGAAGTCTGTTTGAGGTCTGGCCGTAACTCTGTTTCAAGTCTGACTTCCCCGGGCGGCCCTTGGGTTCCCCGGGCGGCCTCCGGGCGGCCCCGGAACGAGGGCGAGAACCAAGGCGAGAACGAGGGCGGGAACGAGGGCGGGAACGAGGGCGAGAACGAGGGCGGGAACAAAGGCGAGAACGAAAGCGGGGACGAGAGGAGAGCGAGAACGGGGGCGAGAACGAGGGCGGGAACGATGGCGGGAACGAGGGCGGGAACGAGGGCGAGAACGGGGGCGAGAACGAGAGCGGGAACGAGGGCGGGAACGAGGGCGAGAACGAGGGCGGGAGCGACGGCGGGAACGAGGGCGGAAACGACGGCGGGAACGAGGGCGGGAACGACGGTGAGAGCAAGGACGGGATCGAAGGGGAAGGCGAGAAAGAGGGCTGAAATGAAAATGGCCTCGACCGGGGGCGAGGGCGGGCGCGGGGGCGGAGACGAGGTCGAGCGCGGGACCTGGCGCGAATGGGGAAACGAGGGCGAGAACGAGGGCGGGACACTGAGGCCGAGGAGCGAAGACTGACGCTCGATACGGAGGAGGTTGATTGGGGGGGATGAGGAGGACGAGGAGGAGGAACGGAGAAATGGGGGCCGAGGGCAGAGGGTGGGGCAGCGCGTGAAGGGCGACGGCGGCCGAGGAAGGAGGAGACGGAAGTCGGGAGGCCAAAGGGGGAGGAAGAGGAGGAGGAGGGAAGGTGGAGGATAAGGGAAGGGACAAGGGGAGGAGGAAGGAGACAAACTGAGGAGGAGGGGACGGGGGAGGGGGGAAGAGGGGAGAGGGACGCGAACGGGGGAGGAGGGAAAGGAAGGGAGAGGGGAGCGGAGGAAGGATGGTGGGGATAGACGAGGCAGGAAAGAGAGCGAGGGGAGGAGGGAGGATGGGCAAGGAGAGAGGAAACGGTAGAAGATGCGGGGGACGGAAGGCCTCGCCGCAGGATGGCGGGAATCTCCCCATCCTGCGGCGAGGCCCTCCGTCGTTTGCAAGAAGACAAACGCACTCGCGCAGCGCGCCCCGCGCCCTCCGCCCTGGACTGCCAAAACTCTTATGGTACTCTGATTCAGCTCTGTTTTGGCTCTGGCCTGAAAGTTTGATTCGTCTCTGGTTCGGCTGAAACTCTGATTTGGTCAGGCCTGAAACTCTGATTCATCTCTCTGCTTTAGCTGGAACTCTGATTCAGCTCTGGTCTGGAACTCTGGTTTGAATATCTGATTTATCTCTGGCTGGGGACAGAACCGAATCCGAGTCCAATCAGAGTTCAGACCACAGTTAACAGAGTTCCACGCCAGAGGTGAATCTGAGTTGACAAAAAGAATATTAGTCGAGCTTTTTGTGTAGTTTGTGAAGCGAGCTTACCTCCAAAAGACACACTCAAGGCTAGGAACCAATATAAGGCCAATAGGTTGTCATTCAGCCTAAAAAAACAGCGGGCCGCACGTGTCATCCCCGAAACCATTTCAAAACAACCAGCTATAAAGTTGGGACGATGGGAAACAACATTAGGCCGTTCGGCCTCACACAACAACATTAGGCCGTTAGGCCTCACACAACAACAACCGATGCCCGGTGAGAGAAACCGAATGTACATGTGGGGTTCGCGGGGCCAACATGAAGCCATGCAGCCTCACGAAAACAACGGGTGGCACGTGTCACCCAGGAAACCGTGTGAGAGAAACCAATGGTAAATTTGGGATTCTGGGAGCCACCATACGGCCATTCAACCTTACAAACAAAGAATAGGTAATACGTGTCATTCCCAAAACCGTGTGAGGACAACCCATTTGTAAAGCTGGGATTCTGGGAGTCGACATGCGGCTATTCAGCTTCACAAAAGCAGTGGGTGGCACGTGTCACCCCCGATGCCGCGTGAAAAAACTGTAACACTGTGGTGTTGTAAACCAACATAAGGCCATTCAACCTTACAGAACAACGGATGGCACATGTCGCCCCCGAACCCACGTGAGACAACAATAAAGTGTGGATTCTGGGGGCCAACATAAGGCCAGAGGGCCTCACAACAACAACGCGTCACACGTGCCACTCCCGAGACCATCTAAGAAAAACACACATGGAAAACTTGGATTCTGGGAACCAGCATAAGGCCCTTCGGACTCACAAAAACAACGGGTGGCACGGGTCACCCCAGAATCCATGTGAGAGAAACCAGTTGTAAAGTTGGGGTTCTGGGAGCTGTAAGTAAAACCAGTTAACTGCACAACAACAACGGGTGACACATGTCGCCCCCAGAACCGTGTGACAAAACCCACAAGGCTCTTCAGAGGCCCAAATGGGCTTTTCAGATGCCCCGGGGGGCTTTTCAAAGGCCCCAAGGGGCTCTTCAGATGCCCCGAGCTTGAGAGGATAATCTCTTCAGGCGGCCCAAGAGGCTCTTCAGAGGCCCCAGTCGGCTCTGCAGAGGACCCAAGAGGCTCGGCAGGGGACCCAAGAGGCTGTTCAGGGGGCCGAAGAAACTCTTCTGAGGACCCAAGAGGGCTTTTCAGAGGCCCCAAGAGGCCCGTATGAGGATCCACAAGGTTCCTAAAAGGCCCCAAGAAGCTTTTCAGGGGGCCCCAAGGGGCTCTTCAGACGACCCAAGGAGCTCGTCAGGGGGCCCAGGAAGCTCTTCAGAGGCCGCAGGAAGTCCTTCAGGAGGCCCGGCAGGCTTTGCAGAGGACCGAAATAGGCTCCCAAAAGTCCCCAAGCAGCTTTTCAGATGCCCCAGGAGGCTCTCCAGGGGGCCCAAGAGGTTCTTCTGAGGGCCCAAGAGGATCTTCAGGAGGCTCCAGACGCTCTTCAGAAGCCCCAAGAACAGAGGCCCCAAGATGCTCTTCAGAGGCCCCAGGAAGCTCTTCAGAAACCCCAAGAAGATACTCAGGGGCCCAAGAGGCTCTTCAGGACGCGGCCCAAGGGGCTCTTCAGGGGTCCCAGGGAAGTTCTTCAGGGGACCCACGAGGCTCGTCGGAGGCCCCAAGCAGCCCTTCAGAGGCCCCACGAGGCTCTTCCGGTGCCTAAGGAGCTCTTCAAAGGCCCCAGAACCTGCCCCGCTTCAGCGCTCTCGAGGAATCACTACTCCCGAGCACCCTTGGCCGTCCTAAGACCCACTGGGCCGCACAAAAAGCCCACCTGGCCGCAGCAGAAGCTTATCTCGATCTGGGGCGCCCCGCCCTCATCCCAAAGCCTGCCTGGACAAAAGGCATGTGCTTCTGCTGTTCCCTCCCAAAACCCTGCACGCCGAATCCAGCTCCTCATCCCCCTCTTGGTCTGACAAGCTGTCGGCCCCACCAGGGGGCATGCGCCCACCCCCGCCCCCTCGAACGACAAAGCGTGCCAGACTCAAACACCCGTCGGGGAACGCCCAGACCAGTGGCTCGCGGTCGGCGATGTCGAAGTACCGCTTCGAGACGGCCTGGCAAAAACGAAAGAACAGAAAAAGACTGAGGAGATGACGGGATGTATGGAGACTCTTGTCTCCGACTTTGTGGGCATCCGGCTGGGAGGGCGAGCGGGGGAGGGAGGGAGGAGGGCCAGGAGGCGAAAGAGGAGATGGAGGACGAGGACCAGTGTAAGCACAAGACGCATCACCGATGTTGCACCAAACCCTCCCTCCACACTTCCTCTTCACAGTTTCCTGCACGAATCTGTCGTCACTGCGGGGAGTGCCTCATTGGACGACAACCGCTGGAAAATCCTCAACCCTGCCAAACCACATCCTGGGACTCCGGCGCCTCCAATCAATCTGACTTTTGCGTCCTGGCAATCTTGAGCCGTGCCAGAACACCCGTCCAGAGACTTCAACGCGGCGAATCAACGTGACCGTTGCGCCCCGCCAGTCCCAATTCGTAACAAAACTCGGTTCGTTGGGGGTTCTAACCATAATTAGCTGCCCTTGAGACGGGTGCAGAATGTTGAGGCACATGTGCGCGGCGCTCAAGCGAGCACCATAGTTTGAAACGAGCACGCCCTCCATCCGTGAACCTGTTCCACACCTTTTGAGACAACTGCGCGCAGCGCAAATGCGAGACGACATGCTTAAACCGGCCCGCTCTCCACCTGTGAAAAACAAGGGCTCCCAACTTCGCGCTTCGCGCTGGGCGAAGCGCGAAGTGCGAATAACTTCGCGCTCTCGCGCCGCCTCCCAGGGAAGAAGAGGAGGATGAGGAGGAATCGGAGCCGAACCGCGAGGCGCGAATAACTTCGCGCCCTCGAGGGCACCCTTGTGAAAACTGAAACTGCTGAAACGTTTGGGACGAATGTGCGCGCGCTCAAGCAAGAATGCATGTTGCAAGCTAGCCCGTGCTTCACCCGTGAAACTGCTGCAGGCGAACGTCTTCGGCGGTGGAACGACAACAACCTTTTGACAACGAAGCGCCATCCATCGGTCAAACTGCTACACACTGTTAAAACAAACGTGCGCGATACTGGAAAACGAACCACATTTTGCAAACGGCCCGCCTTCAATCGTGACGCTGAGGATGGTGAACCTTTCAAGACGAACGTGCGCCGCATTCGAGCGAGAACCACATGTTGAAAACGACCTGCCCGCGATCCGTGAAACGGTTTCAAACTTGTTGAACAAGTGTGCGCGGCGCCAACGCGCTAACCGCATTCTGAAAACTGCCAGCTCTCTTGCCGCACGGCCAGGAAGTCTCAAGCAAAACCCCCAGACGTGTTGGTAGATACGGACACGTCTGAGTCCTCCCCCCGCATCCCTGGGGGGCGCGGGCTCCCGCCCCTTACCCGGGGGGTGGCGCGGGATCCCCGCCCGCTGCCCAGAACCCCCGGTGGACGCGTCCACCGGGGGTACTGGCACAACGTGCCCCTGCCCGACGTCCCCGGTGGCCCGCAGGCCCGAAAGGGGCGGTGGTGCCATTCACGTGGCGGTCACTCCGTCAACCCGACGGGGCCCCAGGATCCAAGCTGTCCGGCATAAAAAAGTCCCCCTTCGCAGCCCGTCCCCTTCCCCGCCGCGCCGCTCCGTCTCCCTCCCCTCCTCTCCTCCTCCCCCCTCCCCGCCGATCCCCCCCCCCTGCCCTCCACCTCCCCCGCCCGTCGGCACGAGTCAATTCGCAGCCCGCCCACTCGGCCACAGGCGCCCGCTGCCGGTGCCGGCTGGGCCAGGCGGGGCCGTGGGCCCACCTCCGCCCCCTCTCCGCCTTCCTCGTCCTCCTTTCCCCTCGGCCACCCCCCAATCATCTGGCGTCCTTGCCCAAGCTTTGCGTTGGACGCCCCCCCCCCCCTCCCCCTGGCTTTTGGCCGAGGCGGCGGGGCCGGACAGGTGGCAGCACTCTCGTTCACCATCTGATGCGCTCCGCCGTATGCTGGAGTGCGGCTCCCTTCCCCTTCTCCCCATCCCGCCCCCTGCCCAAACACCTTCCTCGGCCCCCCCGCCTCGCCCTCGCTCCAGCCACCTGGGGAGCAAACACAAGACACCCAGACCGCCACTTCACTGACCTCCTTCCGGGTGCGCTCTGACCAGAGTCTCGGGGAAGATTGATAAAGCCGTGGCGGCGAGAGCTTTCCAGGAGAAGTACCTGTATATCGGTATCTAGACATGCGATGTCCTGACTTGTGTCGGTACGGGGATCCTGGAAGTGCTAACCTTAGGTCGGGCATGTCCCCCTACAGGGTTTTTTCTACGAGAAATAAAAATACCAAGAATACTCCAAGATCGTCACAACTAGTCAAATATTGCCCCCGGACTATGTTTTGACTATTTCGGAACATTCCTCCTGTAGAGGGACAGGCCCGACCCCAAGACCTCACCGCACAGTCCGTCACCGCACGGATTTTTTTGGGACGCTGGAGGCCCCCTATCGCCCGAGACATCCTCGGAGAGGGACTCGAGTCCCAACCCGTGCGGGTGACCCCGAATCCCCACCGACTCACCTATAGGGGAACAAAAAGTAGCATAAACATAAAAACTCGAAGGTCCGCGCGGATTTCGCGGATCGGCGCTGGACCGCCCTCCCTGGCGCGCGGAGCGCGCCAAGGGCGGCGCCGGAGGCGCCGCCGGGGGGCCCCGGCTCCGATCCGAGAAATCCGCGCGGACCTCCGAAATGTTATGTGTATGTCACTTTTTGTTCCCCTATCACCGCACGGTGTGGTCACCACACCGTTTGGGGGCCCCCGAGCTGTTGTCCAATCCCGAGCTGTTGCTGTGAGGGCCTCTGGGGGCCCACCGAGGGGCCCCCGAAAGGCCGATGCCGGCCAGAGAGAAACCTGCCGTCGCGCCTATGCCTCACGACGCGAACGCGTGCGGGGAGGCATCTCCGGCATGGGATGTGTCCCTCGCCTGGCCACCCCCTTAGGAGGAGCACGAGGAGGAGCCAGAGGAGGAGGAGGAGGAGGAGGAGGAGGAGGAGGAGGAGGAGGAGGAGGAGGAGGAGCAGGTGGGAAGGAGGAGGAGGAGGAGGACGAGGAGGCAAAATCCAAGTGGGCCGCCGCAACATGTCACACCGCGCTTCCCATGTACCGCCCCCGCCCCCCCCTCCTTAATTTTGAACGCCCGAAATGGGTACGGAAAGAATGGGTACAATGCCCAGCAACAAATGTTGTCCCAAACCAACAGCGGCCGCTGTTGGGCGGGCGGCCTCCTGTCTCGGATGGACACAGGCCGCGGCGGCGTGGACAGCGACTCCTGCTCAAAATGGACAGGAACTGCTGTTGGGCATTGTGCCCATTCTTTCCGTACCCCTTTCGGGCGCCCAGATCTCGCGCCCCGCACCTCGAAGGAGCCCGCAGAAGACGCACGCGCTGAAAACGCGCCCCCCCCGCCCCCAGTTCGCGAGGTCACGGCCTCGTGCTGCGAACGCTCGCGCAACGCCTACTCTCAGAGCCCACGGGGACCTCCGGCGCTCCAGTTCCGTGGACCCCTGGGGGGGCCTGGACGACGTCCCGAGGACGGCGTCTTCGTCCTGGAATGGTTCTCGGGCGATCCTCTGGAGCCCGTTGAGGGCCCCCAGGGGCGCAACGTAACACAAGAGAGAACGGCCGCTCAACTTCTGCTGTTTCAGAGCCGCGGAGCTCCGAGATCGCAAAGATACCTCTCGGAGCCCACGGAGAGGGATGTGCGCGCGTGTGTGCTTCTGGATCGCCCCTGGACCTCGCCGCCCTCGATCCCGCCCGCCCCTCCCCCGGCCGCGCACGCCTGCACCCGCGAGAGCCCCGTGAAGAGCTCGGCGAGCTCGCGGAAGCCCCTGCGGTAGCTCCTGCGGGGCCCTTCCGCCCCCCCCCCCGGGGTCCGGAAGGGCGTGGGCGCTCGGGGTTCGGGGCCCCCTGCGATCCTGCAGGCGGCGCGCCTGGTTTCGCGGATCGTTCGCTTAGAGTGAGCGGGGTGGTGAAATCAGCCGGATGGTGTCTGTGGCGGTGTGTAGCTGACTCCACCACCACGAAACCGAGCATCCAGAGGGACGCGTGGGCAATAAGAGCGCGCGGTTGGCGACTCCTCAAGAGAATGGGCAGAGCGTGACAGGACGACGGAACGCCCCACGACTGTGAACCAGAACAGTGAAGCTTTCGACTGCGAAGCAGAGGCGGACAGCGAAGCGGAGGATGAAGAGGCCGAGAGGAAGTACGACGCGTTGGAGAACGAGGGCACCGAGCGATAACGTAGTTGGAGAAGAAGGAGGAGGAGCAGGAGGAGGAGGAGGAGGAGGAAGAGAGGAGGAGGAGGAGGAGAGGAAGAGAGGAGGAGGAGGAAGAGGAGGAGGAAGAGGACGAGAGGAAGAGGACTATTGCGTGATACTCGGGCGCTGCGCGCTGTCAAGGGCTCCTGCGGGTGCCTCTGGGGCCGCTCGTCCGTGGGCGCCGACTGCAGGCTTGTGTAACGCCCCCGAACAAAACACAAAGGCGCGCCTTCAGTCGGGCCTGTCCTCCTATAGAGGGATTTTCGACGAAAAATGAAAAAGCCCTAACGATACCCAAAAAATAATCAAAAACTAGTCCGGGGACTATATTTTTGAGTATTTCATTGCATTTTAGGAGTATTTGGGGGGTATTCTTTATTTGTCGTCGGAAATCCCCCAGTAGGGGGACACGCCCGACTCAAGGCTCGCCCGGTTTCGCGCCCCATGGGACCCTCACATCTCGATACGGCTTAGAACATACCGCCAAAAGATGGGCTCCCTGGGGCTCTGGCCGCGGTTTTCCAAGGTGTTGTACTTGTTCGCTGGGTCGGATCTGAGGGCTCGCGATGACGCCTGTTATCGGCTCCGCCCCCCCCACCCCCTCTTCTCCCATGGTCACCTCACGATTCGCGCCAGCTCCGTCTGGGGATCGGCCATGCAAGCATTCACGGACATGCCCGGCACGAATCGTGACGTAGCCCCCTCCCCCCTCCCCCCTTCCAGGTCACGCCCGTTGTCGCCAGGGGAAAAAAATTGCCTCTGCTGGGACATCTTCGCCAGAACGAGTCTTAAGCCAGACTGAGGGGCTGTACAGCCCGCATTAAATCCAATACTGAGCCGGATGAGGTGGAACTTTGCAGGATGGCGTATGCGAAACATACGTTATAACGCTGGACTAGACTGGTCGGCTTCGGATACACCAGCACCGATACTGAACTCCCAATTATGTTGCATCCTCGTGGGAAATGGTCTGTCCCGTCGCGGCCCTATCCACGTCGAATCCGTGTCGAATCTATGTCGGACTCGTCGGATCCGTGTCGAATCCGCGTCGGATCTGCGTCGAATCCACGCTAAATCAGCGTTGCGTCCGCATCGAGCCCGCGTCGGGCACAAGAGAAGACACCGAGTTGGGGGACAGGCGAGGTCCCCCGGAGATGCAACGTAACCCCATGAGTTTCTGGGCGACCCAAAAGGGGGTCCAGCTGCAAGGGGGTGGTGCAATAGATCTGGGGCAATTGTATTGCAAACGTACTGCGCTGGAGAATTGTATTGCGTTGTATTGCAACGAATGCATTGCACGCGAAAATCCAGCAAAATATCTGCGCCCCGGAATGTATTGCACGCCCCAACTGTATTGCAACCCCACAAATCTATTGCACCAAATCTATTGCGCCACCCCCTTGTCCCTGGACCCCCTCTTGGGTCAAACTGAGTTGCATCCCAACGTATGGCAGAAGCGGCCTCCCCCAACCCACGACGGCCCACCCCTTCCCACAGACCCCCTCGCGCCGCAGCGAAAACCACGACGGAAGGAGCTCGGCGATCTTCGGCATCTGTGGGCCCCTGCCAGGCCCCGGGACTAGGAGAACAAAAAGTGGCATAAACATAAAACAACTCGGATGGGAACAACAAAAACATAGACATAAAACATATACATAAACAAAAAACATAAACATAATCTAGGGGAACAAAAAGCGACATAAACATAACAACTCGGAGGTCCGTGCGGATTTCTCGCGCCAGGGGGGTCCAGCGCGGATCCGAGAAATCCGCGCGGACCCCCGAGTTTTTTATGTTTATGTCATTTGTTGTTCCCTTAGGGGCAGTCAACAAAAAACTCTGGCTGCAAAAGCCGGTCCACGAGATGAGGTCCAGGCTTCCGGGGGGTCCACGTCGCAAAGAAGCGTCGGGGGTGTGGGACTGGCAAGGATGAAGGGGCCCTTGGACACCAAAACAATACACAAGAATTACAGGATTCCAAATATTTTCTGGGTTTCTGTCTTCCCCCGCACTTCCCATATTTTTCAATATTTTTCTGGGGAGTCGACAATGAATTGTGTCTGCGTGTTTCTTTCCCTCCTGAAAGAAGCCGGATTGAGCCGGACTCAAAAGGAGCACAGACCATGGAAGCCAGGTCGGGCTGGGCCTGGCTGGATTGGGGTTAAGGCGCGGCCAAATCAGCAACAAGGAGAATGCCAGGGCCGATGACAGACTACACCTCCCAGGAATTGCAACGTACTCCACGTGGCTCCAGGCAAATTGCCCAGGGTGTGCGGGAAAGCTCCCCGCCGGTGCGCGAACCGCTCTGACTCCTCCCCTGCCGCTTTGGAGTCTGCTCTACGGCGCGTCCAAGTGGGGGCGTCCACGGGGGCTCAAATCGTGGCCCGAGGCACGTACGCGCGGCCCCGGGGGGAGAACCAGGGGACCTGCTGACACAAACCGCGGAGGCCATGGCATCGTGGGACCCCTCCTCCCCCTCCTCCTCCTCCTCCCCCTCATCCTCATCCTCCTCCTCCTCCTCCTCCTCCTCTTCTTCTGCTTCTTCGTATGCTTATTCGTCTTCTTCTTCTTCTTCCTCCTACTCCTCCTCCTCCTCCTCCTCCTCCCCTCCTCCTCCTCCTCCTCCTCCTCCTCCTCCTCCTCCTCCTCCTCCTCCCCCTCCTCACGCGCAAACCTCTGAGCCCGAGAGCTCGGCCCGCGGGCCGCGGCGCGGAGGCCGCTCCCCCCCCCCCCCGCGCCCCCTCCCGGCGCGGCTCCAGAGCAGCGTGCGGTACGTGTAGAACTGCCCCACCGTGAGCTGGCCGCGGGAGATGAACCAGCACGCGAGGCACATGAGGGGCACGTCTGTGAAGGCGTCGTTGACCTGTGATGGGCCCGGTCTCACACCACCACCACCGCCATTCTGGCAGGACGGGTGAGGAGGGAAGGTGGGGGTTCTGCTCCTGCTCTTCCTCCTCCTCCTCCTCCTCCTCCTCCCTCTGCTCCTTCTCCCTCTCCTAACTGTGCTAGTGGTGGTGGAAAATCGGCGCATCAACTAGGATTAGAAACGCTCATGTTGCATCTTCGGGGGACCTCGTCTGTCAAATCGCGCCACTATCAACGTCGAATCCGTGTCGAATCCGTGTCGGACTCGTCGAATCCGCGTCGAGTCCACGTCGAGTCCCCGCGTCGAGCCCGCATCGCTCTCGCGCCGGGCACAAGAAAAGACACGCGTTCTTGGGACAGACGATGTCCCGCGAGGATGCTAGGAGGCCACATGCGAACCTTACCCCACCTCCCCACGATTCCCAAGGGGGAGGTGGGGGTCCCTTCGTTCAGGACCTCCCGAGCGAAGTGAACCCCGCCCTCCCCCCTTCGAAATCGTGGGGTGGTGGGGTAGGGCTCGCATGCGGCCACCCAGCAGCGTAACCAAAAAAACCTGTCCCCGGGGAGCCAGACCCCCGACGTCGTGATTTTTTCACGACGTCGACCCCCAGAGGTCTGGACCCTTTCCCCGGGACCGGTTTTTCGTCCTGAGTCGTTTTTTGACGGTCCCGAGGCCCGGGAAGGGCCCCCTGAGGCCGAAAATCGCGAAAAACCTCCGTCGTGATTTTTTCACGACGCGAGGAGGTCTGGGGAGGGGGGCCCCAGGCCGTTGGGGCTCCTCCACGCCGCTCGCCCGAAACACCACCGCGGGGGGGGGAGCCCCCCCCCTGCGCAGCAGCTCCCTCCGCCGAGCGGCGCGGACGCGAAGGGTCCTTGCCGTTCGCCGTTCGGCCGGGCCCGGCCACACGGGAGAGGATTCGGCGGCGAGGGCAAAGAGGGTTCGGGTGCTCCTCCCCCTCCTCCTCCTCCTCCTCCTCCTCCCTCCTCCTCCTCCTCTTCCTCCTCCTCCTCCTCCTCCTCCTCCTCCTCCTCCTCCTCCTCCTCCTCCTCCTCCTCCCCCTCCTCCTCCTCCTCCTCCTCCTCCTCCTCCTCTCTCCTCCTCCTCCTCCTCCTCCTCCTCTCTCCTCCTCCTCCTCCTCCTCCTCCTCCTCCTCCTCCTCCTCCTCCTCCTCGTGGAGCCCGAACTGCGCACCCGAGGAGGCTCAACAGCTCTGCTGGGCGTCGAGCGAGGGGGGGGGGGCAAGTCGGAAGGAGAAGGCCTGCTCCACAGAGCGGCGGGGCTGCCTTGAAGCCCTCCGGCCTTCCGAGAAGTTGTTGCTCTGTGCCTTCGGGGAGGGCTCAGGAGGCTTCTCAGAAGGTTTGGGGACTTCCGAGCCTTCTGAGAGGGCCTGCTCCTTCTCACTTCCCGCCCTCGCTCTCCGCCGAAGGATGCCGAGTGCCGTCGCTTCCAGGGAAATCAGGACCTACTCACTCGGAGAAGCTGATGGCCGCTGCTGCTGGGTTGGCTTTAGAGCTGATGAAGAGCATGATGGGAAACATCGCAACGAACAGCGGGAGTTAAGGAAACTCACGCTGGCTGCACCGGCTGCGAGTAGAAGGCTAGGACAGACTATAGCGATCAAGCGAGAAGATAAGTACATAAGACAAGGCACTGCCCAAACTGGGTCTCGGAGCTGCGGGCAATGATACGCATGGCACAAATCTGCTGTGAGCAATCGGGCGCGCATCGGAACAATGCCCGGACGAACTGGGAAAATCCGAACCAGAACTCTCGGGCGGGCATCCGCGGTGGCAGCCACCAATCGCGAGCCTTTCCATTCGACGACCCTTCAGCAGGGATCGGACTCCAGGCCCGTTGTGCTCGCGACCCGGCGGGGCCCCTCCAGAAGAATGGAGAACAAAACGAACATAAACTTTAGGAGATCCACGCGGACTGCCTGGACCAGCGCTGGCCCCACCCTCCCTGGCGCGCGGAGCGCGCCAGCGGCGCCAGAGGCGACGCCGGTGGGGTCCAGCGCAATCCAGGAAATCCGCGCGGACCTCCAGGGTTCCAAGTTCGTGCAGCTTGTTTGATCTTCGATACTCATCGCCCTGCCGCCGGCTCCCTACTCGCCGTCGGAGGCAGCAATGGGAACGGTGATCTCCACCCCGAGCTCGGTGATCCCGGCGGTGATGACGTCGCCCGGGGCCACCGGCCCGACGCCCTCGGGGGTGCCCGTGAGGATGAGGTCTCCCGGGTGCAGCGTGTGGGTGTGGCTCAGTGCCGATATGAGCTGCGGCACGCTGAAGATCATGTTTCGGGTCGGGCGAAAGGGGGGGGATAGCAAAGGGGGGGGGTTGAGAATCAGCTCACGTAGCTGATTTTCCCGGCGCCTCCCGGCGCCGGAGGCGGCTATGTATCGAGGAATGGGCCCCTCGGTGCGGCCGAAACCAGCTGCATGCAGCAAATTTCGTAACCCCCCCTTTCCCAATCGCCCCCTTTCGTCCGGCCCGAATGTTCGCGGTGGTGCCGTGCTGCCGCGGCTCCTCCTCGCCGTTCACCTTCAGCCACATGTGTAGCGCCGCGGGGTCCGCCACGCGCTCCGCAGGAACGAAGCCGCTCACCGGGCAGGACGTATCCCAGCCCTTGCAGGCGGCCCAGGGCTTGCCCTCGCTCTTGGCCTGGTTCTGCCCTTCTCGATCCGTCATGTCCAGCGCCAGGCAATAGCCTGCCACGTGCTGCATGGCCTCCTGCGGTGCCACCCTCTTGGCGAGGCTACCGATGACCACGCCCAGCTCGAGCTCATGGTGCGTTTCCGTGCGCCCAGGTGCGCACTGGTGCGGACTCCCAGACGCCACTATGGAGCTCCAGGGCTTGATGAACCAGAACGGAGCCTTCGGTGGCTTGTTGCCTAGCTCGTGAGCGTGCGCGACGTAGTTCCGGCCGATGGCATAGATGGTCCTCGTCTGCTCCCACCACAGCGCGCCAGCGTTCGGTGTGAAGGCACGCGCGGCACACATCAGCCGCAAATTTCGAGCCAGGCCAGAATTAGGAGCTTGAGGCACCGATGGAATGAGCTACGCGAGCGGGAGCGCATACGCGATGGCGACCCCATTCATGTCCTCAACTGTACCCCCGCACGGGGGTAGTCACTCGTTCGATGCCTGCACATGCTCCACTGGACGGGGAACCCCCTGCTGGTGCAAGGTAAAACGGTGCACAGAAGCGCCTCTGGCAGCACAGCTCAACACGACCCCCCCACTCACCTCCCTGCACCTCCTCCTCATCCGCCTCCTCCTCCTCCTCGTCCTCCTCATCGTCCTCCTCCTCCTCCTCCTACTCCTCCCCTCCTCCTCCTCCTCCTCCTCCTCCTCCTCCTCCTCCTCCTCCTCTTCCTCCTCCTCCTCCTCCTCCTCCCCTTCCTCCTCCTCCTCCTCCCCCTACCTCCCTCCTGTCCTCCCCCTCTCACGCCCTGATCACCTCCCGCTTCTTATTTTCTCCTGGCCCCATCTCCTCGCTTTCCCCTTCTCCCTTTACTTAAACGTATTATTATCACTGCCCTTCCCCGTGTCACCACCATTTCCATCCTGAATTCAATTCTCGATTTGCCTTTCAATGCATGTAAATGTACTTATTTCTGTCCTCTCCCTTGGCCCTCTACTGTGTCAGGCACACGACCACTCTTCAAGCCAAGCTTGCGCTTGGGGCTCTTGAACAGGTTACTTCAGGCACCGGTCTGATCTGCAAAAGTTCCGCCTGGTGCCAGACGGGTGTCCGCTCGTGGGCGTCTTGTGGGCGCACCGTGCGTTGGGAGGGCTTGGCGAAAGTGGCGGCGACCACGGGCAAGTCGCAAGCCCGAGAGCCCAGGGGCACCCCGAAGGAAGGGGCATGCGGTCAACCTCAGGGCGCCCAAAGTCGCCGCGGAAAGGGAAAAAGGTGCAGCCCGGCGACCAGGGTCGGGGGGGTCCCAGCGACCTCATGCACAAAGCTGGGGCAGCGGGGGGAACCATGGGAGACCAACGCAAGGCGAGGGCCCCAACTCTGCAGAGCCTGACTGCGGAGCGTATGGACTCACCGGAGACGTTGGCCAGGGCGCGAAGTGCCGCGGGGGTGCCCTGTGGCCTCGCGCGCCATAGCGGTGCCGCCCGCTGGCGCAAGCTGCGACAATCCTGAGTCCCGGGGGAGCTGGTGGCGGCGGAGTGGCGCTGATAGCTCCGTGGCGGGGTCCGCGGCGGCTGCGCTGGTGGGGATACTTTTTGGTCAACAGGCTCGCGAGGCGGATCGAAAGCCGTCCGAACACTAGTCGGGCCGCGACTGGGCAGCACTGAAGCGTGAGGCGACTAGGCAGCACTAGTGGGGATATTTTTTTTGATTCGCGGCCCGCAAGGAGAAGTCCAGAGGGCGGTATGACCGAGGCTGGGGCACAGCGGCAGATACTTGGCGCGACACCGTGCAGAGTGCACCTGCAGATAATTTAGAAAGAGGCGGCCACGGGTCAACCCGCAGGTGGGGGCGAACCGAAGCCCTGCCGAAAGCACGCGGACCCAAAAGTCGCTGAGCGTGTGCCAGCAGAAGGGGGCAACCGCGACTGAGCAGGGACCAGGCCGGACCCGCAGGTGGAGTACCGACCGGCAGCCAGAAAGGGGGGGAGGCAGGGAGGCGAGTGACGAGAAGGAGAGCACAACCTAAGGGGAAGCGTGGCGGATCCACTCCCATGTCACCCGGCGCGTGAGCTTCAGCGTAAACGCCGGCCACACACAAGCCAACTAGTGGGGATACGCGAAACGTGAAGAATAGCAACTGCAAACGTAGAAGCGTTTGGGTGTCAACGCGGATTTCTTGGGTCGGCGCTGGACCCCTATATGCCGACATGCGTCGGTGCCCTGCAGCACTGACAATCAGGGGGCTGCTCAGATGCGCATCGAAGGGAGTCCCCCCAAAAACCTCGAAGAAAGCAAATCGTCAAAGTCGTTCAAGGGGAACCTGTCTCTGAGGGGGGGTCTCCGGCGTCAACCAGAGAAATCCGCCAGGACCCCAAAGAGTTTCTGGGGAAACCGGAAGATACCGATCCAACTACTCCCTAAACCTCTCCCGGGGTGCGTTCTGACCAGAATCTCAAGGCGAATCCAGCAGTGGTGACGAGAGCCTCCCAGAAGGCCCAAAAAGGTGAGACGAGAAAAGGGAAAGAGGTATCGGTACCCTTTTTCCCTTGTCGGGCTGCTTTTGACCCAGGTCAATGCGAACCCGGGCCACTCAGGCTGTGCAGGATCCTTCAAGAGCCTCCAGGATTCTGCGCCCGAGCTGGGGTCGGTGCGGCCCTGCTTCTACAAGATCTTGCAAGAGCTGGCGCCCTGACCGACTCACGTTTGCACAGACCCCCGCCACTTGAGCCCCGACTCTGAGCTTCTGCGTCCCTGCCGTTGTTCTTGCCGTGCCTCCCAGGACCGAGGCGGTGGAGCCTCGCCCCCCCCCCCGCCTCGCGCGGGGGGCGGGGGCCCGACTGGCCCGGGGCGGCCGCGGACCAGAGTCGACACCCGCTCGAGGGCCCCCCCCGACGGGGGCAGTCACGGCGTGCGAGAGAGCGCGTCGTCGTCGTGGTCGTCGTCGTCGTCGTCGTCGTGGTTTTCGTCGTCGTGGTCCTCGTCGTTGCCGCGGTCGTCGTCGTCGTCGAAGATGTCGTCGTCGTCGCAGTCGTCGTCGTCGTCGTCGTCGTCATCTTCGTCGTCGTCGTCGTGGCCGTCGTGGTAGTCGTGGTCGTCGTGGTCGTCGTCGTCGTCGTCGCGATTGTCGTCGTCGTCGTCGCCGTCGTCGTCGCCGTCGTTGCTGTCGTCGTCGTCGCTGTCGTCGTGGTGGCTGTCGCTGCCGTCGGCGGCGCTCTTTGCCCGAAGCCGCGGCGGGCGAGGCTCCGCGCCCCACGCCGCCAGGGAGACGGGGCCGGCCGGCAGCCGTGCTCGGGCACCCCCCCCGCGCACCGAGGCGCGATGGCTCGAGCGGGAGATCGACTGCGAAATCCCACCATCCCTCTGGGCTTAGGTGGTATAACGCGTTTGTCTTCTCTCTCTCTCTCTCTCTCTTCCACTGAAGCCCCTCCCCATACCCCCTCCCCTGGGCCAGGAAATGGGGGGGGGTACCGAGGCGCTTGAGCGTCCAAGATGGCCCAAGATTGCTCCAAGAGGGCTTCGAAGTCGCAAGATTGCGAAATTGACAGATCTCAGGATTTGCGCCGTCGCCAAACATGTAATCGATCCACGTGTGTTTGCAGACTCGGCAAATATTCAGATTCGGGGGGAACTCAATGTTGCAGTCGACCTCCAGATCGTGGCGGACGCGCCCAGAGGATGGAATCACCCAAAACTGCGTAAACCGAACGTTTTGCTGCCAGCACGAACGTTTTAAATCGGCGCTGAACCCTCCTCCCTAACTCGCGGAGCGCGCCAGAAGCGGCATTGGATGCGCCGCCCAGAAGCTTCAACGCAGATCCAAGAAAAAATCCGCGCGGAACTCCGAAAGTTAATGGTTGAGAACGAACCGACGAACGGGACGGGGACGTCTGGTGAACGCACGGGGACGGGTTGGCACGCGCCGGTCGCATACGAGGCATCTCCTGAGAGGTCTTCGTAAGCTCGGTTGCGGGCGATGAATCCAGATGAAAGGGCCGTGGACCTGGATCGACTCAGATGTAGCACAGGGTGAAGCCAGATTGAGAATGAACATAAAAATCGTTCAACGGAACTGAACGGAACTGTGCAGGATTAGGCCAATTCCCGCCCCCGATATACACCAGCGCCGATGCCTGAATCTCACCTCCCAGGAACTGCACCCGACCTGCGGGCCGCGTCGACGCCTCTGTCGGGGCAGACGCAGGAGGGGAAGGGGGTGCGAGAAAACAAACGGGGCGTTGGGGAACCAACTGCATATGCAGCTGCTTTTCGAGGCTGCTGGAGGCGACAGGAGCGAACCGTGTCGAGGAGTGCGCCTGCCGGTGGGTCTGAGCTAACTGCACGCAGCAGAGATCGTACCCCCTGCTCTCCCCAAACCCTCCCGTCGTCCATCCCCAATCGAGCTTCTTCCCGAGGCCGCCGAACAAATTCCAGAAATCTATGGAGGCTTCTGGGTGCCTTCTGTGAACGGAGGGATGGTACCGAATGGCCCGACCGTCCGTCCGAAAGGGATCCGTAGGTAGAGGAAGGATGACAGCGATAGAGGGTTTTATCCCTCAGCGCTGCCCAGTCCTGTATCCAAGACGGATGTTCCAGTACCTGAGCCGAAGGGTGCAGCGGTAAAGAAAAGTACAAATGAGGAGGAGGGGAAATGCACACACACATACACACACACGCACACACACACACACACACACACACACACACACACACACACACACACGCACGCACGCACGCACGCACGCACCTTCGGAAGGCCTCTCGAGGGGATCCCAAGGGTCTCCACTGGGTCCTTTGGAGGCCCCCGTGGAGAGACTTCTTGGGGGGGCCCACAGACACCTCCACGGGGACCTACGGCGGCAAGCTCGTGCCGCCCCGACGCGGTGGCGACACCCTTGCGGGCGTTCAAGATTGAACACCCTCTGCGGTCTCGCACTCGGGCACCTGACACACAGAGATCGGCTCACGACGCGGCACCCGCACGAAAGGCGGGGTCGACAGCCTCGGGGGCCCTCCAGGATGAGGGGCAGCAGTCGGCGGGGACCAACCCACGCGGTGGAACATCGAGCTTTTGAGTCAGCGACAGGTCGCCCGACGGATCGGCGCGATAGGCCCCCGATAGCGCATCTCCGCATGCTCCTGGGCGGGGGGTGGGCCAGCGGGCCCCATATCGGCGAGGAATGGGCGGCAGGGGGGGGGTCGATGCGCGGCCCCCCCCGAGCCAATCCCAAGATGAAGTTGCCCCTGACTAGGGGGCAAACAAACCTACCTCGCTTTTGACCACCCTCGCTTCCAAGAGATACCAAACGATGCTAAATTGCAGCCTGTACTGGTCAGGCCGCTTGACGAGGAGGCGCGTGGTATGGCTTGGTTTTGCCTGGAAGCGAAAGCGGGGTAGGTAATTCACGCTCTGATTGAACGATGGGCCGTTGCCGAAACGTCCAAACCTTCCCACATCGGACGATTCTGCGTCGCCCGTGGCCTTCCACGCGGACCGCCGCCGGCGGGGCCGCCGCCGGTCCACACGACAGGAACCTGCCGTACCGCAAGGCGCCTTCTTACCGCACCTGCTCCGGCCTTTAGTGGGCCCTGGAAACGGGCCGCTTTTTTACCGGTGCCGTTTTGCCGTTTTTTTACCGCACTTTTTACCGCACCTGCTCCGGCCCTTAGTGACTTAGTGGGCCCTGGAAACGGGCCGTTTTTGTTACCGGTGCCGTTTTGCCGTTTTTGTTGCCGGTTCCCCGACGCGCCGTTTTTTGACCGGTTCCGTCGCCGTCTTCTGACCGGTTCTGGCTCCGGGTCCCATCCTGGAGTCGTTTTTGTTGCCGTTTCTGGTTGCCGTTTTTTTGCCGTTTCCATTTTCAAGGGGCATTTTATTGGAAACGGTGAAAAAACGGCCCTGCCGTTTCCGGGGCCCACAATGCTCCGGCCCACCCCCCCGTTCGGGCGGGGCTCGTCGCGTGCGTGCTCGGGCAGCTTCCCGCTGCCAGATCCGCGGCCCGCCGCCGAAGCCCACGAGCGGCAGACATATCTGAAGGGGCCCCAGGACACACAAACCAATACACACAAATAAAATTATTACCCATATCTTCAATTTTTTTTTAGTTTTTGGCTTCCCCCCAATTCCCATATCTTCCCATATTTTCCTGGAAGTGGACGATGAATTGTGTCTGTGTGTGTCGTCCCCTCCTGAAGATCCGCAGCCGCGCCCTCCCAAGGAGCCGCGCGGGGCAGCCGCTAAAAAAAAACACGGCCCCTCTCCGCGGGGTCGCCGCCCAGGGGGGCTCGGCCCGCGGGGCCACGGGTGCGGAGATGTGTGCCTCGCCCACGGGGGAGGCCCCCCTCTCCTCCGACGCCGCAGTGCCTGTTTCAAGGGGCCCTGGGACACACACACACACACACACACACACACACACACACACACACACACACACACACAAATTCACACAAATAACAGGATTCCCTATATTTCCCCATATCTTCTGGGTTTTTGTCTTCCCCCCACTTCCCATATGTTCCTATATTTTCTTGGGGAATCGACGATTCATTGTGTCTGTGTTTTTTTTTTTTTCCCCTCCTGACTGTTGTGACCCGGGCCCGGGGGGAGCTCGACCATGCCCCAAGGGCCCAGCGTACCATCACGAGTGCTGCTTCTGGACGGTCCCGCGGCAGGGAAGCGGCCTCTCCAGGGGCCGAGGACGAAGGGAAAGGACTGCCGCCGCGCAGTGCTGCCGGGTCGCCCGGAGCCAGGGGCGCCTGCTGGCTCCGCAGCCCGATCTGCACCCTGCGCCCTTTGCATCCCTCCACCCGCCTCCTCCTGGTCGCACAGTCGGCCCGCATCCCAGGGATGCGCGATGAGGACGCAAGGGTCTTGGACGCCCATTCCGAAGCTCTTCGAGCGGGGCGCGGCCGGCGAAAGGGGTCAATGATGGATCGAGGAGGCAAGGACGCAAGGGTAGCCTGGGGAAGGTTGCCCATGCTTACCATGCGGGTCGACTGTATTTGCTGAGTCGCCTGGATCCAAGGGCGCCTGCTAGCTCCGTAGCCCGATTTGCACCTTGCACACGTGCATCCTTCAACCGACCTCCTCCTGGTCGCACGGTAGGGGCCCGACCACAAGAAACCTTCCACAAGAAGAAACCCAACCTTGAGACCCCAGGACGTACATGCATTGTTGGTGTGGGAACAACACGCTTTCCATAGCAAAACCAACGAAATCCAAGAAACCCAGGGCACCTTGGAGGCGAGCAGGGTGCTTCTTGGCATGGGTCTCTACTGCACACCTTCTCATCCGTCGCCTCCTCCCCTGGAGGCTCCAGCCCTCCTTGTGCTTTGGCGCCGCCGAAACACCCCTGCGGGACACTTGCTCCGGCGACAGCCCCCCCTGGATGAAGCGCAGCGCGGTCTCCTGGAACAGGGTGCGCCGGATCACCTCGAGGTACGTGCCTGGATGAGGGGGGGTATCGGCGGCGAGCGAGGAGGTGGAAGTGAGGAGGAGAAGGCCTTCTCAGAAGGCGGCGGGACTTCTCGGAAGCCCTCGCGCCTTCTGAGGCGTTTTCTGTGTCTTCGGGGAAGGCCTAGCAAACTTCTCAGAAGGTCGGGGGACTTCCGAGGTTTCTGAGAAGGCCTTCTCCTTCTCACTTCCCCTCCCTGCTTGCCGCCGAGGAGTAGCTGTACGAGCACGAGCACGTAGCCTTGAGCACACGGAAGCTTACAGCACAATCTAACCCTACCCGTAACACAGCAGCCCCATCACCCTATTCCTGACATCCTGAACCTGACCTTACGCATTCGAGTCCTAACCGCCGGACCCTGCCACAGTGGCCCTAACACCTGACCGTAGCACAGCGCCCCGAACCCAAACACGATGGCACCTTAACCCGAACTCTCATACCACAACAGCCTAAAACTAAACCCGCACACACCCCAACACCCTAATCCTCGACCGAACACTCAACCCTGACACTCGATCACTTCATGCTCACCCTACGCACCCTGACAGTAACAGCGGATCGATAGCACCCTAACCCCAACACGCGATCACCCTGACCCTGGCCCTTTTTCCCTAATGCTCCCTACCCTAAACCTAACAACCCGCCCCTGAGCACCCTGCCCCTGCCCTCGCGCTAAGCACCCTCACCTCGAAGCCTCCTAACCCGACCCCCTCCACCGGACGCCCTACCCCTCCTGCTAGGGAGCCCACAAAGGACGTACGCGAACAGCTATGTACATGAACACGGCCCCGTGACCCGCGAGACCTGCCGCGTGATACGAACATTCGCGCAATGCGACCTCTCGAAACCAGCGTGGATTCATGTACGTGTACGTCCTTCTTTCGCTCCTGACCTGCCCTGACCCAGGCACCCCAACTCCAAACCGGAAGCCCTGACCCGACCCCCCCCCCCCCCCTGTGCGCCCCGGAGCGCGCTCGGTCACAGCGCGCCTGCCGCGAGAGAGGGGAGGAGGGGATGGAGGATGCGGCGGTGGCGGCCCCCGCCCCCCCCCCCCCCCTGGCCTCTCCTGGCACGCAGAGGACGAGGGGGTCCCCCCGTTCCAGCGGGCGAAGCGAGGGGGAAGGGCCCGGGCCTCCCGACCCCCCCCCCCCTGGCCTCTGCAGGCGCGCAGAGGATGAGGGGGTCCCCCCGTTTCCAGCGGGCGAAGCGAGGGGGAAGGGCCAGGGCCTCCCAGCCCTCCTCCTCCGAGAAGGGAAGGACGGCGGGGACGAAGGGGGGATTCACGCACGCACCCACGCGCGCACGTAAGCACGCACGCACGCACGCACGCACGCACGCACGCACGCACGCACACACACACACAGAGACACACGCACGCACGCACGCACGCACGCACGCACACGCACACGCACACGCACACGCACGCGCACGCGCACACGCAGTCGCACTCGGACACACGCACTCGCCCACGCACACGCACACGCACACGCACACGCACGCACACACACACACACACCTCTCAATGAACGGGTGGACCGCGGGTGCTCGTTCGGCGGCCGCGGCAGCCTCACGGCGGGAAAGATTCGCAGGTCACAGGCCTGAGATTGGAGGAAGCAGTCACCTTTTCGCACCGGGCGGGGGGAAGCAGAGGAGGATGAGGAGGGAAGAAGGAGGGGTGAAGTGGACGGAGAGGGACGAGTAAGGTGAGCGGTGATGACACACAACTCTAACATCGGGCTTTTGTTTGTTATTTATATGAAGCATGGGCCCCAGACGTCTGGAAACCTTTCCGGGGACCAGCTCTTCATCCCGAACATCTCTGTTAGAAGGTCACAGGGCACGGCGGCAAATGCCCCCAGGGCTGAAAGTGACCAAACACCATCCGCCGTGACTTGCAGCGCGAGGAGGAGGAGGTCTGCGGAGGAGCAGGGCGAGAACCTGGTTGATCCCAAAAGGGGTCCGGCGCAAAAGGGGTGATGCCACAGATCTGCGGCAAGTGTCTTGCAGAGGCACTGCGCCAAAAGAACTCTATTTCATCGTATTGCAACTCATGTAGTGCAGGCAGAAATCTACCAGCCTGGAACATATCCCCATCCCTATGCTGGGCACCTCCTCATCACGATGTCAATCTTAGGGGTTCCCTTATTTTTTGAGGGCGCACCCCTAAGATTGTCATCGCCTTTTGGCGTGTCAATCTTGAGGATAGGGATACGTTCGAGGCGGGCTGGAATCCAGCTGTCCATCTGCGCCCAGGGGCCTGTGGACCAGCAAGACGAGAAGAATGAGTGTGTGTTTTTCCGCCGCGGCGCGGCCAGGGGCGATCCGCTCGCGCGTCGAGCACCCTGCGCTGCGGCGCTGCGAGCTGCCCAGCATGCAAGAGCTGGCCATCGCTCGGACGTCCATTCCCTGTGCTTTTTTCGGTCTCGCGCGTGGCTTTTCCGCCGTATGATCAAGGATGCTCCTCGATGATGGTCCTCGCCGAAGAAAAAATGCACAGGTCCGAGCGATGCTGAAGGGCGTTGCGAGTTGTCCAGCATGCAAGAGGGGGAGAGCCGGAAGAGGCGAGGGAGGGCAGCGCCCTCACGCGGCGGCACAGCGGGGAGCCCACGGGGCAGCCCCCTCTGGCAATGGCGCGGGGCGGCCCGGCCGCGGGGCGAGAGGAGCGGCGAGCGGAGAAGTCTCCGTGCCGAGTCGGCCGCCCTCGGGGGCGGCCACGCGTCGGGGTCGGGTCGTCCCGCCTTCCAGGGCCGTCTTCGGACAGAAGGGCGAGGACGAGGAGGGCCGACACAAATGTTCAGACATGCCAGGTCGTGGCGACCCCACGACGCGAAGATCGGGGGGGCGGAGGGGCAGGATAGCCAAGGGCAGGGTCGAGGATCCGCTCAACGTCGCTGGTTTTCCTGGCGCCTCGTGGCGCGAGGAGGCGCCCATGTATCGAGGAATGGGCCCAACCAGCTGCATGCAGCCGATGTCGTACCCTCCTTTCTCTATCCAACCCTGTCGTCCGGCCCGAACAAGAATCTAAAGCCCGGGTGTCGCAATTGATTTATCGCTCTGGCTGGAACGTCAGGGCAAACATGGCCGCGGCGATGCGGGCGCTCCAGGAGGGCCGAGAAGGGCCAAGAACCTTGATTTTAGAACCCCGAGGAGGATGTAGCTGGGAAGCGGCTGCCATGCCATTGAGATGTGCCACCCACTGCTCATGGCGCAATGGCCTTGCCGACCCTCGGGCCTATCCCGAACGACTAGGTGTGACCTGCTCAGGGCAGCCTTCCCGAAGCGGGGGGACGACCTTGCCACGGACGGCCCAAACGTCCAATCTTAACCCCGAAATTTCCCACGGGAGAGCTAGACAGCAAACCGACCATGCGATCGCCAGCGTGCCCAGCACATCTGGTACGACAGAAGGTCGCTCTCGGGAGACGTGCTGGTTTGTAGGGGAACGAAGAATGACATAAACATAAAAACTCGGAGGTCCGCGCGGACTTCTCGGATCGGCGCTGTGACCCCCTCCCCTGGCGCGCGGAACGCGCCACGGGCGGAGCCGGAGGCGCCGCCAGGGGGCCCCAACGCCGATCCAAGAAATCCGCGGGCCCCTCCGAGTTGTTGTGTTTACGTCATTGTTCGTTCCCCTAGTTGATGCCCCTGGCCGCGCGAGGGCGAGGAGAACGAGGCGAAGAGAACTAGGCCCCTGTGTCAGACATCGATCCCTCGCTGTAGCCGGAGCCGCTGGGCGGCTTCCGCCGTGGCGCCGACGACGCTCCAGGAGGGCCAAGGAGGTCCAGAAGCATGGGTTCTCGAATGTCGAGGAGGAACAAGAGGAGGAGGAGGAGGAGGCAGAGGAGGAGGAGGAGGAGGAGGAGGAGGAGGAGGGAGGAGGAGGAGGAGGAGGAGGAGGAGGGAGGAGGAGGAGGAGGAGGAGGAGGAGGAGGAGGAGAGGAGAGGAGGAGGGAGGGAGGAGGAGGAGGAGGAGGAGGAGGAGGAGGAGGAGGAGGAGGAGGAGGAGGAGGAGGAGGAGGAGGAGGAGGAGCAGGAGGAGGGTGAGCAAGACCAGAGCAAACCCAAGACGTATCAACGATGTTGCAATACACCCTCCCTCCAGGTTCCCTCTTCATAGGTCCTCAGGAGGAGGAGGAGGAGGAGGAGGATCTGACTTGTTCTAGCTCTGCGAAGCCATCAGTCTCCAAGATCGACGCGCCCCTGCCTAGCGAACGGCGCAAGACAATCCCGAAGGCTGCACATAAGCTTCTGGGGGGCCTTCCGCGAAGACCACCGAGCATGCAGTGCAGCTGCGGCCCAGCTGCCCTCCGCCATACGCAACACGGCAGCACGGCAGCACTGACCAGGCCAAGGCCCGCGCGGGCTCGCAGTCCTTCCTGGGGACTGGCTCGCACGGCGCACGCATCATGATGATCAATCCTGGTAGGAGGACAGAGGCCTCCTAGACGGGGCCCTCGTAGGTGGGGTCGGGGGATCTCGCCGCATCGCCGATACATCGGCGATGCATCGGCGATGCACTGGCGACGTCGGCGATGCATCGGCGTCGTCGGCGTGGAGAAGATCGCACCCCACATCGAGCCGCATCGCCGATGCATCGCTGATGCATCGGCGATGCGGCACGATCCTCCGACACCATCTACCCCGACCCCATCAAGGAGGCCTCGAGAGGGAGAGAAGGATGAGGGTGAGGATGAGGAAGAAGAGGAGGAGCAGGAGGAGAAGGAGGAGGGCCATCACTTGGCTGATCAGGGAGGCTAGGGGTTGGCCGACCCGGCCCTAACCCGAAACCTCGTGGCGCTGAGCCACTTGTCTTATCCACTGCGGCCGAGGAGCCAGAGCCACAGAGACGGCAGGACGCTGCCGACGCTGAAAAGGGCGATGAAGGACCCAGCGGGAGTGCGCACCTTCCCCCTGAGGCGGGGTGCCCGACACACGTGCAGACAACAGCACTGCGTGCGCACGTACACGCACTCGCGGCAAACAGTCACATGGCGACGCCATGACAACGAGGCAAAGCCACCCCTGGTGTAGGGAACGCCAGGACGGCGCCAGGCCTCGCCCCTGGTGCGGGCCAAACTAGCAACAGAGGGTGCAAGGGTCGCCTTGCGTCGACTTCAAGCGTGACCTGAGGCCCCGTCTCGCCCCACGAGGCAGGGGCCAGAGGTCATCGGCGGGAGCCCGATCCCGACCCGAGCATCTTGAAACCAGAGACTGGAATCTTGGAAGAGTGAAAGGGCCACCAGGCCACTGTGGTAAGGCGGCCTCCTCCTGCATGGCCTCTGAGCGGCTGCGCCAGCGGTGCTGGAGGGAGGCCTGGCACGATCGGGCCGGCCGCGGCACTCTTGGGGTGGCGGCCCGACTGCTCCCGCTGCAGCTGTAGCTTCGCCCCGTTGTGGGGCGGTCTTGCACGGCAGTTGCCCGAGAGACCTCTCGAGCTGCCTTCCTTGAAAGAGCCGCACGCGTGACACACCAAGATGCTCGTGGGCTGCCCTAGGTGTTCAGATGCCCCTGAGGGTTGGAGGCGAGGCTGGACATCTGAGGGCAGTGTCCAGAACAATCCATAGCCCTATGCCGCTCCTCCATAGCTTTGACCGAGCGGACCCGGATGCGGCAGATCGTGCAGCGGCGCTGGCCATTGATAAATCGCCCAGACATGGGCCCTCGGGAGCACCCGAGGGCCCACGGGTGGCGAGGGAGGAGGAGGAAGAAGGGAGGCGGCGGGGCCCCCGGGGTCCCAGGAGGCCAAGGCCGAGGCAGCCCCTGAGGGTGGGGAGAGGCCCTTTGGCGGGCCTGGCCAGCGCCTTGTTCCTGCGCGGGGCTATCGCGGGCCCATCTCCGAGGGCTCTGGCAGTGCATCGGAGGCACTGCTTAAGCAGAGCCGTGTCGCTTTGATACATACTGCTCTGCCTCGGCGAGACTGGGTTGGCAGCCAAGGGTCGAGGCGGCCTTGGCTACTCTGTCCGCGGCATCACTGCCGCGCGCTGGGCGGTATTCCTCACTATGTGGGGCTAGGGCATCAAGGTTATGGCGGGCCTTGGCTTTCTGGATTCTGGGGCCAAGGCTGCAGTAACCGCCGCCCGCGAGAACTTTGAATTCAGCCCATTTATTCTTACGCGGGTACCCTGCGCTGCCCTGCAGCTGCAGGACCCATTTGAAATCCGAATATATATATATATATATATATATATATATTCATTATCGATTATGGGAGATAGGCGGCCAGCCGCGACAGCGGCAAGGTGTTCGGCAGCACTTGAGGATTGGGATCCCAGGGCTCCGACGCGGCCGCTGAACGTGGCAAGCTCATCACCGATAGCCATGCAAAAAAACGGCAAAACCAGCAATAATGAAATTGTAGTGCCCGTGGCACGTACAGCTGCCATCAATAAAAACGTTTTTGCCGTAAAAGCTCCATCGGGCCGTAAGTTGGGGTCTCGACAACCAAACCGAGCGGATGCCAGACCAGTGCCAGGCGGTGGGTCTCCCACGAAATTGGGAGCGAACGAGAAACCAAGGAGCAGAGGGGGAGGAGCTCGGGGAAGACCAAAAACACGGGGGGCTAAGGCAAGGAGGGTGCCGCGCTGCTGCTTAGACAGGTCAGGCGAGCTGAGCACGGTGCGGACGGCTGAGGCCTGAACCTGCTCGCCTGGGTATCCCATCTTGGCGGCAGCCCGTTCGGTCAACTGATCCTGCCGCGCAATTTCGAGGAGCTTGGCCACGTACGCTGGGGACAGACGGCAGGCCCTCAACCTGCTTCTCACAGGGGGGTCCTGGAGGATGAGGAGGGCGAGGGTACGGATTCTGGAGGCACATCTCGGATCTGTTGCCGAGGGATACAGCGTCCTGGCGTGCTCGAGCATCGGGATGTTGATGCCTGTGACCTCCACTCCAAAAACGGTGGCCGCGGAGGAGGAGGAGAATGAGCAGTGAGCAATGCGCGGGGAGTTCAAATGAGTTGCTCGACTCACACCGACACAGGCCAAGAACTCTGAGGAGGAGAAGGAGGAGGAGGAGGAGGAGGAGGAGGAGGTGGAGCGCCACGCCTTGCGGGGGGGGGAGGGAAGGAGGTCCCGTCGTCCCCTGCAGCTGCCGCAGCCTGAGGAGGACTACAAGGAGAACGAGGCCCTATCGCCCCGGCCGCTGGCGCCTATCGCCCCGGCGTACTGCCGCTGCTCGGTGGCCTCTGCCCCGGCCAGCTGCACCGCCCGCGCGCTGCCGATGGCCTTCTGCCCCCGCGCGTGCGCCAAGGGCTGCATACCGCGGCTCCGCCCTCCTCGCCTTGTTTGCACCTCCCCGCGCCTCCTCCTTCTTTTCCTGCTCCTCCTCCTCCTCCTCCTCCTCCTCCGCCTCCTCCTCCTCCGCCTCCTCCTCCTCCTCGGTCGGTCGGGGTCGGCCCATAAGGGCAATAGAGGCGAAGCCCACGTGTAAAGTACTGGCGAGGAAAAGGGTGGAGCAGTCCAACAACGAGATTAAAGGACATGCGAAGCTCCCTCCGCCGCCCCACCGAGGGGGCAGGCGTGAGCAGGGCAACGAACACAAGCAATCGAAATATGGGAGTCTTGCGCCAAGGTGGGTACGCTGTCACGCCAGTCAGGGTAAGTCGATGCCGGGTTACCGAACGAGAGAGGCAAGCAAAGACGGCAGGAGAGAGAGCGGACCACAAAAACTGGGATGGGGGGAGGCTCCACCCAGAGACACGTCCCGTGAGGTAAGGGGGTGGGTGCAACCAACAGGCAGGAACTCCAGAGGTCCAAGCAACACGGGAGAGCGCAGCGACAGCGAGCAGATTCGCACTGCGGCTCTGCACTCCTTCCCAACGTTTCTCACCCAAGGTGGGGATCCCCCCGGGCTCCGAGGGGGACCGACAAGGGGCGCTGGATCCGAAAAATCCTGTGCGGCCAGCAGGAGGGAAGCGAGGGGACGCAGACGATATCGGCCACCTTGTCTTGCTGAGCGGCCGTTTGCCAACAGTCAACCAACCCTCATCCTCCTCCTGCATCACCACCTTCTCCTCCTCATCCTCCTCCTTCTCCTCCTCGTTCCTCCCCCTCCTCCTCCTCCTCCTCCTCCTCCTCCTCCACCTCCTCCTCCTCATCCTCATCCTCATCCTCCCCCCTCCTCCTCCTCCTCCTCCTCCT